TTAAACTATTATACTGGGGATATTTGTGCCATAAAATTTCAGTATTTCCCATTGCTGCTGATTTCTGAAGCAAAGCAGAAACACGTTAGAGTGCTTGGATTTTCAACCATCTTTTTTTCCCTTTGTACCTACAATTTCATGGACAGGCTTTTCCCGATATAACACACCAGTAAAACCAAGTGCCTTTTTTTATGACCCAGCTTCCGCACTGCAACCATATACAGCTACTTGCCTTAAGAGGACATATGAAGCTCATGTAGGTTTTCAGCCTGCTGAAACCGTTAGCCATACGTTACACACACACACACACACACACACACACACACACACACACAAACCACTTACAAAAACACAACGGCTAAGCCAAAGGCGTTTCCTTTACTTCCCACGCTGCTCTCCTTCAGGAAGATATCGCAAAGAAAAGCAAAACTTTGCTTCTTAAAGCTGCAGTGCTCCATGCAGGGCAAAAGGAAAATCCTCTTTAACATGAAGCAAAAGCAATTCACTGCATTAATTATAAATGAATATTTTTAGATGGGAAAACTACATTTTGGAAACTTTCCTCAGCCATGCTGTGGTATGTGTGTGCTTGGGTGTGATGGAGAAGGACCCTCTGCTAGGCTCTGATTATTATTATTATTTGGGGGGGGGAGTCTGCTGTAGAAGCCCCTGCTGTGCCTGCTGAAGGTGTGAGCTGTTCTGGAGCTATCGCTGGTGGTATTCCTGTCAGCAACAGAGAGCACATGCCCCTCAAATGTGATGCTTCAGGTGCAGGGCAGAGCATGACTGGCCAAGGGTCAATGGAGCCTTGACTGACAGGGGTCAGCAGGGCTTTGGATATGGCAGTACCTCTGTCTCTCCTCCAGGACAGAATTAAAATTGTTCTGCCAATCACTGTAGCATTCTAGTGGGGTGGTGCTGTGGTCTAAACCACTGAGCCTCTTGGGCTTGCTGATCGGAAGGTTGGCAGTTTGAATCCCTGTGACGGGGTGAGCTCCTGTTGCTCTGTCCCAGCTCCTGCCAACCTAGCAGTTCAAAAGCACACCAGCACAAGTAGATAAATAGGTACTGCTGTGGTGGGAAAGTAAATGGCGTTTCTATGCACTCTGGTTTCTATCAGTGTTCCGTTGTGCCAGAAGCAGTTTAGTCATGCTGGCCACATGACCCAGAAAGCTGTCTGTGAACAAACGCTGGCTCCCTTGGCCTCAAAGCGAGATGATCACAGCAACCCCTAGTTGCCTTTGACTGGACCTAACGGTCCAGGGGTCCTTTACCTTTTACCTTCTAGTTATTAACACTGTTTTACAGCTGATCTGTAAGACAGGCTGGTACGTAAGGCACCTTTTCTGAGTTTGCTTGATTGGGTCAACAATTCCTTTTGTTCTGGTCACATTTCTTTATTGTGGTGTCCTAGTCAAACTATCACATAAGACAATGCAACTTCTGAAAAGACCGAGACTGATATAACATAGCAAAGCACATTGTCAGCTCTCCTGCACCTTATGGCAGTGACAGCTTTGCAAAACCTAGGCTGCTTGGTTAGAGCAGAATACAATGCAAAATGTTAAGTAGAATAAGGCCTGTTTTGCAAGAATCTAAACAAAACAAAACAATATATATATATCTATATTGGTTCCTATGTTACTGTCTCAGTGCTGATTCTAACCAGTGTGGTGATCTAATAACAAAGAGTAACTTATACCCCTCTGCTGTCAAAAGTACATGTAGTTCCACCAAGGCCCCACTTGATTTTTTTTAAAAAATGTAACTCATGCAATCTCAAGCTATTCAAGGATTTGGGGCTTTGTACCTTTGAGCTGGGAAAGGTCAGCCCTGTGATTTCCAGGTCAGAACTATCTGACAAGGATTTGGTGGTGTTGTAACCTGAGAAATGTTAACAAGGGAATGCTGTTAAGAATAAAGAGGGCAAGAAGGACAAACACTGAAAAGTAACTATTATATAATGATGTATTATAGTGGGCCTTGACAAATCTCTCCACCAAAAGCTTTTCTTTATGACAAGGCATATTACTGAGGTAGTCTCCATAGTGCTGAAATACTGTTGCTTTGAACAGTGAACGATATAATCATGTACAGGTCTTGCTACAAAGTTTCTGTGGGGTCATTCATGATAGTAAATGCCATATTTGCTACAAAGTGTTTGGCCTCTTGAAACCTCCTAATCTCTCAATAAAAGGATCTTTGTTATGACCACGGCATGTAACTGAGGTAGCCTCCTTAGTGTTGTTCTGAACATAAATCTATATAATCATGTATGGGTCTTGCCAAAGAATTTCTGCTAAGGTTAGAATCTATCAGTTCTGAGTTCAGACCCAGCTACAACCTCCTCCCCTTCTGCAGCAGCATTTTTAATGGTAATTTACATTGGGTTTTAATTGCTGGGAACCACTCTGGCAAGCTAAAAATCAAGCAATCAGGCTTAATTCTTTGTCTTTTCTTTGTTTAAAAAAAAAAAGAAGATGACTTCTAGAATCATACAGCTACTATAAAATCTTGCCAAGGAAACTCAAACTACTGATTCCCTTCCTGATGAACCATGGCCCACTTCAGGTGTTTAAACATGCAACAATAACAAGGATGTAGGGGCTTGGATTCACTCAAGCATTCCATGTGTGCTCCCCTCCCCTCCTATCTTTCGGTTTATTGCAAAATTTTGATGGGAGCTTCCAAGCACATTGAGCTGGCGACTGGGAAGTGTAGGGGGTGGAGGCACACAGCTACTCCCACATTTTGCTCTTCTGTGTCTAAAGAAGTCTATGGTTTGCTGTTACAGCCCGGTTGGGTGTACTATAGTTTGTACTGCAAACCAGGGCTTGCAGGGAAAGCATAAACTACAACTTGGCAGTTCAGATATAGACAATGAAGCAGGAAGGTAGGGAAGTGATCACAGCATGGGAGGATAGGAGGGAGTGGGAGTAAGGAGCATGAAGCTTAAGCCTCAACCCACACTCATTCACATGACTCCAAGACAGGGTTTGATACTAAGCCAGGAGCTCCTGTTCAGCTAAGAAACTTATATATGTGTGTGTGTGTGTGTGTGTGTGTGTGGACAATCCAAAATGAATATAGGGGAAATGCTGAATCCTTTCTTGTTGCACTAGAGACTCCAGAATAATAGAAAAGGCCAAGTGTAATGTTCCCAACTGCCTGTCCTATGATCACAGCCCAGGTCTATCAGGACTACTCAGAGTCTGTACACTGGACCTTGGTTTCTTTGCTGCAATCATGTGTAGCTATTTGTTCTGTTTTCACCTTTTGACAAGCTCCCTGGCCTTACTGAATTCAACCGGAGGACCTACTTATGAGCAGACACACATATGCACAGCTTCACTGTCAACAAGCCAAGATACCCTTTTCCCTTTTTTTAAGTGACTTGAGGTTGGGACTGCTAATTCAGAATGCCAGTCATGAACCATACATTAATTTGTTAGGAGGCAAATGTAACGGACTTTGAAGAACTCCAAAGAGTTGGGGATAGAGTCCTTTCTAGTTGGTCCTTTCTAAAAGTAAAATAGAATCGAAACATTGATTAACTTAGCCAAGACATTGTCACATTTATGTTTTACAGGCCACAATACTGTATATGGTTTGGTTGATAGAGCTCACGACACTTAATGTCAGGGTTGCCCCATGTTGGGCAAAAAGATTCCTGCATTGGAGGTGGTTGAACTAGATTATCCTTGTGGTCCTTTGCAATTCTATGATTCTATGAATAAAAATAAGGTCATTATCTTTCCCAGACATAATTCTTTTCTACATAAGTGATAGAGTCCCGTTATTTACATAGCCTCTGAAGCTGCAGAGATCCAACAAGCACAGCAAACACACACATACACAACCACGAATAGGACTCCTTGTTTACTCCTGTGAATCTTGTCCACTTTGGTACCTCATTTGAGGAATGATGGCCTGGTTCCCTTTTCACTTGTCACATCCACTTCTGTAAAGAGGCAGTTCTATCTTGGCTTCTTCCTTTGGGGCTGCAGAGAGCCAATCTGGGTGGAATAATGAAACTGGCAGTCAGCTGAGACTATGTGCTCGCCTGTTGGGTCACCAGGGCAGGGAGACATGGGTTAGGCTGGGCAGAAGGTGGGAAGGCGTTTTCCTTCCCAAGACTGTGGTAAGAGTTAACTCTTCCTAACATTTTATGCCCTTCTCATGGGCGTGGGAGGAAATTACAGGCCTTGGAGACTAAGTGACAGTTGGCTTGGGATAATGACAGGCAGGCTTGCCGTGAGAATCCAAGCGATAAAGATAAAGGGAAGGGGAAAGGGCTCGGCTTTTTCTCCTGTTTGCAGAGAAGTGGCAGCTGCTGCCCTGGGCAGGAGCTGAAGGACAGAGCAGCGCCCCCTCCGCCTTCCTTGGTGCTGTCGCAGCGGCTGCTGCCTCTGATGCGCTAACCATTCCCTCCTCGCCCTGCTTGCAGCACGCCAGGAAAGTGCCGCACGTGTGTTGTTGTCTTCTTCCCTACCGGGCATCTGCCGAGACGGCGGCAGAAGAAAGAAAGAAAAAGTTTCAGGAAGATCCAGCCTTTTCCTGTCCCTATAAAGTTGTCTCATCACCCGCCCAATAAAGACCTAAGTGTCATAACAGGATCAGGGGCCAACCTGGCAGGACACCGGGGGAAGAAAGCGAAAGGTTGTAGCAAGTAAACAGGGCTGGTGAAGAAATCTCAACCTTTTACCAGGGGACGCTGTGGCTTTAAAGGATTCCGAGAGGCGATCGGGTGGGTTTCCCCCCCCGCCCCGCTTGAACAAACGTCCCCTCCCTGCTCCGTTGCCTAGCTCGCTTTCTCACCTCCGCGAACCTCCCCCGCCCCGTCCTTCTTTCTTCCTCCCCCTCCCCTTTTCAGCGGTCCTCTCCCCCTCTCCGCCCCCCCCCCCGCGCGCTCCGGTGTCTGATTAAACGAGAAGGAAGTGTGGGAGTGGAGGCTTGCGAAGCTCTCCCTTTAAGAGGCAGCCTGCAATGACGAATTGTTGAAATTGCCATTGCAGGATGGCATTCCACTATAAATTCATTGTTCCACCTCCTCTCATCTTCACAGCTCTCGCTCTTCTCCTCTTGTTCACATCGGCGGACTGGGGATAACGCCGCCGCCGCCGCCACCAAACACCCATTAAACTCGGAGAGGGAGGAGGGGGAACCTTGAGAATCTGGGACCTTTCTCCCACCCCCTGACCGGCAAGGGAGGGCTTGTTTTCTCCTACCTCTCTCCCTCTCACACACATTCATTCACTCACTCACTCACTCTTTCTGCCGTCCGCCTCTCCAAACCAACTCATCAACCCCAAAAACAAGGGGACGGAGGAAGCCGGCGAGACCCTCGGAGCTGTGCCAGAGCCGACCTCGCTCCCGTCGGATGACTCGGTGGCCGAGAGAGCGAGCGAGAGCGAGCGAGGCGCCAAGTCCCAACTTCGCCGATGCCTCCTGGCTGCTGCGAGAGCCGTGTCTCCCTCCCACCGATGCGCTCTTGACTCGTCCGGCGAAGACTTCTCCAGCCTTTTGTTTTCCACCAGCCTGTCCCGTTCGCGCCCCGATCTGCCCGATCTCCCGCCCGGATCGCCGACCCGGCAATCGATTATCCGTCTGCTGCTGCTGCGGAGCCCACCATGCTGCTGAAGTTGCCCTGCCCTCCGCTGCCGGCGCTGCTGCTGCTTGCAAGCTTGCAAGCGGCTGCCTCGGCCGCCGGAGTTTCCCCGGCAACTTCAGCACCTGCCTATGATAAAGCTGTGCAGCTCTCCAAAGCAGCAGCAGCAGCAGCGCCGCCGCCGCCGCCGGGCGCTGCGCCCCCCTTCTTCGTCCCGGAGCAGCAGCAGCCACGCGGGTCCAGCGGCCTCGTGGAGCGCGTGGACCAGACGTACTCGGGGGGCGGCAAGGTGGGCTACGTCCTGTACGCCGGCGGGCAGCGCTTCCTGTTGGACCTGGAGAAGGACGCGCTGCTGGGCTCCGCGGAGCAGCTGCTCCAGGGCAAGGGGCGCTGCTACTACCGCGGAACCGTGGACGGCAGCGCGCAGTCCTTGGCCGTCTTCGACCTTTGCGGCGGCTTGGACGGCTACTTCGCGGTCAAGCACGCCCGCTACACCGTGAAGCCGCTGCGTCTGGCAGACGATGGCGGGGAAGGGGCCGAGGAGGAGGAGAAGCCCGCCCGGGAGCGCATCTACGACGGGGAGTCCGCGCGGGTGGCGCACCTCTTCTCCAAGGAGCACTTCAGCTTCCAAACGGTGCCTTCTCGGCCCAGCTGCGAGACGCGCGGCTCGCCCAAGGTGCCCTTTCTGGAACAGAAGAAGCTGGGCCTGCGGCAGGAGGAGACGGATTTCACCACCAGGGCGGCGCTGTCGAGAAACTTCTCCCCGCCGGCCGGCCCCAGAAACAGAAAGCGGCGCTCCATCTCGCGGGCCAGGCAGGTGGAGCTGCTGCTGGTGGCCGACGACTCCATGGCCAAGAAGTACGGCAAGGGTCTCCATCACTACCTGTTGACCTTGGCCACCATTGCCTCCCGCCTCTATGGACATGCCAGTATTGAGAACCACATCCGCCTGGCGGTGGTGAAGGTGGTGGTGCTGGGGGACAAGGAGAAGGGCTTGGAGGTGAACAAGAACGCGGCCACCACCCTCAAGAACTTCTGCAAGTGGCAGCACCAGCACAACCAACTGGACGACCAGCACGAGGAACATTATGACGCTGCCATCCTCTTCACCCGTGAGGTAGGTTTGGGAGGAGGCCGTGGCTGAGGGATCCCGCTCAGGCCTCCGCCAGCCTTGCGGAGCTGGGTTCATCACCCTCAGCTTCATTCTTCTGCTTCACCGCAGGTGTGTTGGACTTGATGACCCAAGAGGTCCTCTCTTGGGCTTTATGAATGTATGTGATTGTATTGCTGCTGTCTTTTTCTTTCTTTCTTTTAAAATTCATCTCTGGTTGTAAATGTCCAAAGGTTTCGTAGCTACTGTCTTAAGAATCCAAAGTGCTACTGAAAACACTCATTTGCCATTGGGTTCAATATCACTAATGCTAGGGTGGTGTCACATCAGGTTTAGTAGATACTTGAGGTTCCAGTAATAATTCCAAGCATCTGCTGGGAGCCTGAGTGAAAGGGGAGATGATAGATAGATAGATAGATACACACACATATGGATAGGGAAGCCCAGGGTGCTTCCACACAGCAGCTTATTGTTGACTCGGTGTTGCTGCTGTGCCCAAGTTCTGCACAGCATTCATGTGATGTCCTCATCAAAAGGTAGTCCCCTGTTATTTTCCCATTTATTGTAGGCTTACTGTTCCTGCAGAAAACTAAAGTTTTGCTTGTTTTTTTTGTTTTTAAATCATTGGAAATGGTCACTCTGGATTCAGTGTGGAAGGGGGAGGATAGGTTGGCAATTTGATGAGAATATCACATGTGCAAAAGTTGCATGCATGAGCAGCGCTGGGTCCACAATGAACTGCTGTGTGGAAGCGCCCTTGTTTCCAAACAAAATAACAAGCAATTGGGTCATGTGTCCATTTGAGATGCATCATCCTCCTGCACTCATTGCACTAACCATGAGATGTTTCTCCATCTGGTGCACAGATTGGAAGTAGAACTGTTGGAGCTCTGTATGCTGATGGTGAAGAACTGATGCAATTTATGTTGTAGCAAAAACAGGATCTTAAACAGGTGTTTGTAAACACAGTTGCCAACCAGAGGTTTTTTGAAATTATCAGGTCATTGGTCCATCTAGTTCAGTACTGTCTACACCGACTGGCAGCTTCAGGGTTTCATACAGGGGTCAATTCCCAGTCCAATGAGGAGGTGCTGGGAACTGAACCTGGGACCATTTGCATGCAAAGCCTGTGCTCTAACCACTGAGCTATGACCTATCACACCAGTTATGATCTTTAAATCCTGTCCAGTGAGCAGAAACTTGCCTTCTGCCTCTTCTGTGCCAAAGACATCCCTGACACCTGGTAGTGCAGAGAGAAAGTATGTGCATTGCTCATCTTTCAACAAGCTCTTCCAAGATTCATGTCCTCATTCCACCTACAACCTGTTAACTTTCTCATAAGGCTGTCGTGTCCATAATTTGCATAGAATAACCATTAGGAGGTTCTTATTATAGGAGAGCAAGCTGTTAGGATTTTAAGAAATAAATAAAAGTAAGTTTTTTTCTATTGATGTTGCTCCTGAACAGCAATGTATAGCCCTCTATTAAGATGACGCAACACATGTTCTAGCCAAACTTATACCCAGTGCTGAAGCTCACCTAAATTTTCTGTTGGGTGGTGGTGGAAATGAACCCATTTAAGTAATAAGATAAGGCACTGGTAGGCTTGCTAATCTTTTGGTGTATCTACCAGATGAGAAGAAGAACTATGAACACCTCTGGCTCAAATCCCAGTCTGACTCTGTTGAGATTAAAGGGAAAGGAAAATGTGTGAGGTGGCCTCAGGGAGCTCACAACTTCCTTGCTTAGTTGCTGGTAATTTAACATGGCATTTCCAGCATGAAAAGAAAGTAGCAATAAAACCGGAGAGGCGCAACATGTGTGGCTCAAGAGAGGGGAACGTAAATTCAAACCACATGTAAACATAGCTGCAGAAAAGTGGTGCACCAAGGTAGGCGAGGGGTGGGGCTCTAATGCCTCATTATCCACAGCGTGGAAATTGGTCTCCTAATCTGTTAGAATTCTGAACTGGCAAGGGTTCTCCATACAGCTTTCTGGATGAGTGCTGAGTGATAATCCAGCAGCATTGGCTGAACTAGTTAAGGGGAGTGGTTCCAGAGGAACATGTGACACTGTTTATGCAGCAGAACTTTTCAACATGAATGTCCCCTTCAGCATGTTCTTCCGCTTTTCCTTCTTTAATTCAGAAAAACACATAACTTTCCATTAGAGTTCCCTTCCTCCGCTACATCACAAGAGTGCCAGGAAAAAGAGAGGCTTGGGATAGTTTGTGGAATGAGTTACTCCAGTGAAGGAGTAAGGAGAGAGACAGAAAAAGCCCTCGTATGTTTATTTATTCCTCCAAATACTTGAAATATTATGGTGTTCCTGTCGTGCTGCACTTGTGCTGTATGTTCTCTCTGTTGATGTCCAAAGCCATTTGTTTTCAACCATGAACTCAGGAGTCTCCTGAGTTCAACCCAGATTTTTATCAACACAAACAAAATCTGACATGCTTTTCTAGGCTCCTTTGAGACTAGCTTCCCTCAATCTGATTCTGCAGTTTATATAAGCAAGGCGTTTAATGGTCCACCTGATTTTAGAAAATTGCTTTGGAGAGAACAGAGCTTGACAACTTGCATTTTTCTCAGTACAGTCACACACATATGCATGCACTAGAGTTTCCCAGGGAAAGGGATCTAGCAAGGTGGCAACTCAGTACTCTTAAGACAAGTTTTTAATTACTGCACATCAGGTATGACCAATGTAGTGTCCTCCTGATACTTAGCAGTAGCTTTTAGGAGCAGTCCATATTACCAAAGTGGGATGATCCACTTCAGATATATAACCAATTCAAATAGACATATAGATAGACAGCCATTATACCTTCAGAACATGAACTGGATGTGCACATGGTGGAATAGTCATATGAAATTGCCATCTAGAGCACAAATCCTTTGTGTATAAAATCAACAAAGAGCGTTGTGGCACCTTAAAGGTTAACACATGCCATCAGCTTTCTTTCTTGGACTAGAATCCACTTTCTCTTCTGATGAAGTGGACTCTAGGCCATAAAATCTTACATTGTAATAAATGTGTTTGGTGCCACAGCAATCTTTTTGGTTTTTACTGCAACAGACCTTTACAGCTACTCTTCTGGAAGTTTTGTGCAGATATTATCACATGGATCACGGTGCACAAGCTAGCTGACCCACACAAGTTGTTTGTCATTTTTTTTGTTCAGTACTTGAAGAAGGGTAGAAATGTACTGCTGACTTATTGATTTGTGTTGTAATACACCAACTTGTAATGAAGAAGTTGTGTGGGCCTTTCATTGGGTATCTACTGTGATGCTCAACCCTTACTCAACCTTACTCATTCTCTCACTTAATCATTTTGAAAACTTTGGAATGAGATGGTTAAGTTGCAGGTTGGAGGTACATCAAAACAATGTAGAGGCACATTATGTAGAAGAAACAAGGACCATACATTTTGCCCATGTGAGTTTTGCCTTGTCCCATTGACATTTCTTTTGAGCATTAACAAGGGATGCAGATTTTGCAACAAAGTTAATGGCCAAACATAGCTTTCCTTGTCTATGCTGTCCTTGCAAGGAGTAACTGAAACACGAGAACCGTCACATCTTCAGCTCTGTTATCTCAGATTATATAAGATGATGTCTAAATCTGGCATTTTCAGTTCATTGGAGATACATCTGAATTGATTTTCCTCAATTAAAAAAACAATCTAGGGAAGAAAGAGAGGTGTCCAGGAATGAATAAATGTACATAGGTCTTCATCTAATGGCATTTGAAGTGAATGATTCACTGTTCACATTTGCAGACTGTAAACATGAAAAAGAGTTAAAAGGTAAAAGTGTCAGAGGAGAAACATCTCACAGGGCACAGGGCTTTTTCAAGCCTACTGGTGTTTTTTGTGGAGGTTTTTTTTTACCCATTTTTGTTTTTTCAACAAGACGAGAAGTAGCAGCAATTGGCATGAGTGTTTAACTTTTACAACTCTGTTTTGAAAGTATGAAGTCAGTTGCTTAGCAACTAGACGCTTAGCCACAGTACCATGTTTTGATGGGCTCCGAATGCTGCTCTGTTAAGTTTTTGTATACCCAGATGCCTTCTTCTAAATTGCTTGTTTTTCGGTTGTGGATCAAATGTGTGAGGTACACTTTCCATCCCTGTTTATTATTCAAGGCCACTTTGAACTTCAGTAGACTAATATTTGCATATCATCTATCAAATGAACCCACCACAATTAGAATTAGGGAGCAATTCAATTCAATTCATGTTTAAAGGCAAATCTATCAAATGGAAAAGCAGGCATTGTTTGAAATTTGTGCTGAATTTGTAGTTCTCCAACCAATGTTTACGAAAATGCATATTTTAGAGGAAAGTGTGCAGAAAATGGGTAATATAGAAATAATAATATAGGGGAAATTGTTTGCAGAAATCAGTCAAAACTGCATATAACAGTAAGCTTATTAGCAGAAATTGTCATGAAAATGCTGATGAATTTTCACAGTGATTTTTTTAAAATCACAAATTGCTCCAGAAATGTGGAGAACTGAATTTAAGACTGGAAAAACAACAAACCAAGATAACCTAAACGGACAGATCGTTCCATCCCTAAACACACTATGCAAACAATTCTTCATGCCTAACTTTATGTTCATTAAATATTCAGATTGCCGTAGGATGTGCTCTCGTGTTGTCAATGGTCTATAACACGAGTGACTAACAGATGCCACTGGAATACAACCTTCATAATTCCTGGTTTTGGGGCTGTGTTGACTGGCGGGAGTGGAAGTCCAGCCATATCTGGATGGCCACAAGTTAACCATCTCTAGTCTTCAGAAATTCTTGTTTTGAAAGCATGTAACATTTGTCAGAATACAGGCTGTTTTAAAAATGGAGTTACTAGTTAAACATGTGTTTTATTTACTTGTTATGTAGCAACACTTTTTCTTGTGGCATTTTTCATGGTGAACTTTTAAGCAGTGGTTAGAACCCCCCCTCAAACTGGTGAAACTAGTTCACTGAGCCTAAAGGGGGATGTGCAGTGTGTTTGTTTCACCAAGTTCCACTAGCTCTGTAATAAATTTGCTTAGTTAGCTTCAGACTTGACATGGATGCCTTTGAACTGCAGAGGATCATGCCCTGCTTTCTTCACTCACTTGGCCATCTAGACTTGAGGGATTCTGCACTTGCTCTGTAATAACAGCACATGCATGCCCAGAGCATACCTTGTAAGCTCCCAAGACTGTATTTCATGGAAAGATCTGAAATAGTAGGTATACTGACTTTCATGAAATCTTGTCTGCTGTTACCATTCTTCTTATCAAGGGACTCATGATACACTTAGGCTGCAATCCTTAATTAGGATGTAAGCATCATCAAGCACAGTGAGGCTTCCTTCTGAGTAAACATGCAAAGGCTTATTCTGTTAAGGGGGTTGCTTTGAACACTACTGAAAATGACTACAAAACTACTATTACTACCTCTAAAACTCAGCTTTCTAGCATTTATTTAGTATCTGTGTTGAGTAACATGTGAAGAGTGTTTCTGAGGATGATACAAGTGTGTAGAGGATTCAGAGTCCAACATTCAGTTACGTATTCTGCTAATCTGTCTGCTGGAATGCTGGCCTATTTTATGAGCATTTCATAGATTTGTACAGTTGGAGGAAAACTTTATTTACCAAATTTTGACCGCTAACTGTAAAAATGTCCCATTTTAAAACTTTTTTTCTAGGAATTGCAGTGATTGTGGTCTTGGACCACATATATACCAAGTTTTAGCTTAATAGTTGTAGAAGAAGTAATCTAACAATTTGTCTCTTTGATGGAGTGAGTGAGCCAATAAGCCACATGCATCTTTTATTTGCACAAATACCTGCACAATAGTTGTTCTTTGTGAAGTCTGAAAAAAAGCAGCTTATTTTGCTGCATTCATTTCAATATTTGTTTCAATTGATAGCCTGTTCTAACTCAGTACCTTGAGACAGGTTAACAGTATTGCAGTTGGAAAAGATGTAGGAATAGGACCTGAGGTGAAAGTCAAAGCAAGTTAGAGGAACTCTTAACTGCCTTGCTGCTTATCAGTGAGAGTTTTCATTCCCCTTCCCACTCCTGTTTGTTCTGTTTTCTTGATGTTTCCTGTTAACTTCCGCTTTATATTTGAGCTTCCGCACAATGTAAAAGCCACTTCATGGAATATGGCAACCATTTAACCTAGTAGCCTACATTGGTCCAAGTAGAGTTGTTAACAGCACCATACTCAGTTCAGTGGGATTGCTTCCAAATTGGTATTATAAGACTGAAGATTGATGAGACATGTAATTTATTTGGGTTGCGTGGGTATGTAGTTGGTTAAAAGCCAGATCTGTTTAAGAACTCCTGCCAAGGGTAAGATTTTCAAATGTTCATGCCCAAGGCATTCTGCATGTTAAGTCCATTTACATTAGCCAATATGTTGAGCATCAGTCCTGTCTGCCCATGACTAATTTGGTGGTTCTGGAAACTAGTTATTTGCTGTGTTAACACTGCTTATTGACTCAAACAATGTTCTCCAGACTGCCTGTCACAAGGCAAACACATGATGGAAGAGGGTTCCAGCTGTCTAAACCAACGCCATTCTTCTCATTACTTGAGCCTGTTTCATTGTCACTCTGTAAAATCCACCAAATCTATTTCCGTCATCACCTGAGATCAATTGGAGCAGAAGCTCTGGGAGACAGAATACAGCAAGCAGTTTGGACTAAGTCCACTTATATTATTTCCCTCTCACCCTTCCCCAAGTCATGTGAAAACTGAAAGAGATGTTTCTCACAAAAGACATAAAAGTAGCCAAGTCTTGAAAGCTGGGTGGTTCAAGAACTGGGTGGTATATTCAACGATAATGTTAACACGCCTGTCTCATTAAGAAAAACCACATATCAGCCAGAGGTCATTGCTTTGCCGTTTTCCATGCAGCACTTGTATGTGGGATCCGGTTAATTATCAAAGTGAAAGTGGTACTGAAACTTAACAGCAAGTGCTGAATTATCCAAGTCCTATAAATGCTAATTATGTTGAGCAAAATGCATGCTTTCTTTGGCACTAGTGACTTTTCCTTAACAAACCACTATCCTGTGTTTGTATTCCAGGGGACAGGCTATAATACCAAATGCCAGAAATATAGCTATAGGGGTTCTAAGTATTTAAAGTCAATTTTAACTGAGACCCTGCTTGTGCTAAAACGATTGCATTTGATCTTCCTAAAGAAACCTTTCCACTGTCATTCAGGTAAATACAGGCTAGCATGCTTAAAATACGTCATTCTACTATGGTGGTATAGGATTATCTCTAAAAGAAATTATTTAGTTGTGCAACATGTGAACAAACATATACTGTAATACCCTCCTTCCATCACTACAAGTTACTGTAGGCATTGCATGGTGTACTGCACTGAAAACACTGGTTCACTACAGATGTCCTGCCAAATAAGGTAACAGGAAGATTAACTATGGTTAGGCATGGCATCCGAATTGTCAAACCATGGTTCAAAGTGGATTTATAAACAATGGTTTGTGCTATGATTCACTGTTATGCTTGAATTGACAAATAGTAGTAGCTGCACCTCCAGAGACCACTGTACCATAGAAACAAAGGGCTGAAGAGACATACAAATCAGACAGGTAGCTCTTAGTGGTGGTTCCCTAAGCATGTGGTACCTAGCACAAAATGTTGCGGCATAGTCTGCTCAGTGTTTCAGTCCATCAGCCATGCCCTATTCTAGGAGGTTTCATTTCCTCCTCCCTGCCTGCTTCTGGGTCAGCCAGCTCCTGTGCCCACTGACAGCTCAGACTCATGTGCCATTCGGACTTTGACGCCTGCCTCTTAGACTCTCGTCTCGGGCTGGCTTGGCCTCCCTAGGCATCTGCCCTCTTGAGCATGTTGATGCTTCCTTTTTCTATGTGGATAGTATCATATTGACGTCATAAAGATAGGCATTCAGAAAATGAGTTCGTTATGGGAAAATACAAAATCCCTTATCTTTAATTTCCAAATGTAACTCCTCCCCACCCCAAAATCCTGACCTCTAAGAGACTGTCAAATGAGTTACAGATTTTGTGATGTCCTGCTCATTTTTTCCTAAATCAATAGTGTCAAGCCTTAAGTTTCCTTATACATTGCAACCCTACATTGCACGCTTCCTGTGCTGTGACTTTGTATTGATCCAGCTACTTTGAAGGAATATCAGATAAGTTGAGGCCAACTGCTGGAATCTTTCTTTTAAAATGCATGTGTGATACAGCGGTGTTTAGTCAAGAGGCCTAGGTAACATACCCAACTCCCTCAACCATTCCTCATAAGGCTTGGTTGCCCCTTTCGGCACACATTCCGGCTTGTCAATATTCTCCTTAAATTCTACCACCGAGAATTGTACACAGTACTGCAGATCCAAGGCAGAATAGAGTGCGACTTTGCTTCCCTTGATTGGGACACTATACTTTTGTTGATGCAACCTAGAAAAGCATTAGCTTTTGTTTGTTTGTTTGTTTGTTGTTTTGCTGGAGCATCACACTGTCGACTAAGACCCCTCAATCCTTTTCACATGTACTACTGGTGTCCCCCATCCGCCTAAGTGTAGAACCTTATATTTGTCTCTATTGAAATTTATTTTGTTAGTTTTGGCCCAGCTCTCCAATCAGTTAAGGACATATTGAATTTCAATTCAGTCTTCTGCAGCATTGGCTACCCCTCCCAGTTTGGTGACACCTGCAAATTCCATGAGCCTCCCTTCCCCCCACCCCTGTTCTCCAATGTTCCAACAAATGCCGGTCTGTAGCTGAGTCTCCAGATCCAGAACTGAAGCATCTAGATGTTAGTCCCACACAGGCCAGGACTTCCTCACTTGGTGGCTGCTTCTGATGTCTCTCACAGCCCCAGCCCTAGTAGCAGATGCAACAATTGTTCACTGTATGAATGGCATCTTGTCTCATTTGGCCCTTTGTCTCAGACAGCTCTTAGTTGCAAATAGATGAATGGGGGAGATACTTCAGTGTGAAGCCTTTGGAGGTCTTCAGTGAGAGAGGCACTGCAGTAGGAGTCATGCCTTTGCCCCTGCACTCTGTCTTTGGCCAATCTAGTTGCCAGCCACCATACTGACCATTTTGGTCATACTACCAATCATAAAAATTGGTCATGAAATTAGCAAAGTATTCCAGCTTTCATGAAATAGCCTGTTTATTTTCATGAAATCCCTCCTAGCATAATCCTCTTCACACCTGCTCAAAAGTAAGCACCTTTTAACAAAAGAAAAGAAAAGAAATTTCAGCGGGAGGCCCAGAAAGTAATGTATGTGACTGTAGCCTAGCTTTTATATAAATTACATTTAAAACATTAAATTTGCATGGTTTGCCAAATTCCTTCAAGTTGGTGAATTAGGCAGCAGCATAGCCAATGATGTGAGTTAGTCATTAGATTTGCTTTCTTCCTTAACTAGGCAGAGCATTTTGGATGTTTCATGAACTCAGCAATATTCTACACATTTCATGAATCGTGCAAATATCAAATTTAGTGGCGTATAGAAACATGCACGCACATCCATAAAGCAACAGTTGTTAAAGTAGGGTGTCTACAATGCCCTCTTGCCAGAATTATTAGAGTGAGAGGTTAAGCACCTGCGGCTAAGAGTCACTATGGGATAGTAACAATATAGTATGTGTGCATAATTTTCATGGAAGTGGTAAAAAGAATATTTGAATAAAACGGAAATTGTGGATTTGGGAAAATAAGGCATCGTGCTGATAGGTTTCTTGGATGGTTTCTTGTAAAAACAGCAGTATTTTTATTTTTTGTATTTTAGGTAAAAAAATTAAAATGGAAAGCCACTTACTCTGATTGGAATTACTCCTAGGGAGCATCTGAATTGTTTTCACAGGTGCTGCTTTTAATCAAGGGTCTGCCACATTTACCAGAGTGGTGCATTTACCAGAGTGGTGCATGCTCTGGTTATCTCCCGCTTGGACTACTGCAATGCGCTCTACGTGGGGCTACCTTTGAAGGTGACGCGGAAACTACAACTAATCCAGAATGCGGCAGCTAGACTGGTGACTGGGGGCGGCTGCCGAGACCATATAACACCGGTCTTGAAAGACCTACATTGGCTCCCAGTACGTTTCCGAGCACAATTCAAAGTGTTGGTGCTGACCTTTAAAGCCCTAAACGGCCTCAGTCCAGTATACCTGAAGGAGCATCTCCACCCCCATCATTCTGCCCGGACGTTGAGGTCCAGCGCCGAGGGCCTTCTGGCGGTTCCCTCATTGCGAGAAGCAAAGCTACAGGGAACCAGGCAGAGGGCCTTCTCGGTAGTGACGCCCACCCTGTGGAATGCCCTCCCACGAGATGTCAAAGCGATAAACAACTACCTGACATTCAGAAGACATCTTAAGGGAAGTTTTTAACGTGTGATATTTTAGTGTATTTTTGATTTCTATGGAAGCCGCCCAGAGTGGCTGGGGAGGCCCAGCCAGATGGGCGGGGTATAAATAATAAATTATTATTATTATTATTATTATTATTATTATTATTATTATTTACCTTTCTATGGCCTTTTTGAGCAGTTTTGGTATCCGTACACGGGCTAACCTACACCATAAACTCTGAATAATTAGAGACTCATTCATTGCAAGAAATGTGCTGCACTTGCTGTAGAATTGCAGGCATAGAACATGTGTGCCTGACCAGAATCCATACTTTTTTTCAATATTACTTTGTAGAATGAGCAATGGACAAAATGAGGGGCTTTAAGCAGAAACATTTCCCTTTGCGTTGATGAGCATTTCAGCCACATTATTTATACTGTTAATGTGTCCAAATAACTCAGTGGATTGGCTCTACACTTTGTTAGTCACACTTAAATTCCCACTTATGTCAGTGGGATAATCCATCGTTTCCTTTCTGATAAGGGAGGGCCAGATAGCACAGCTATGGCCATGTTCTCCAGAAACGCTAGTATTAGAACTTAATTGAAAAACGTTGCTTGCCAATACACAAAGTGTTGTTTGTCATGTCACATAATCGCAAATTAAAGTGGTGCTTACGGAAAACTTTCATGAGCAACTCCTGACGTTAGAACAGGATTGGTCACATTTCAAACCCTATGTTTCTGTCTGTGTACACTGTCTGCAAGCAAAAGCAGAGGGCCTATCTCAATCAAATAAAGCTGAATGGTCTACAAAGTGTCATGTGGGACGTGTGCCAGGGGGTGGATCAGCCGTATATCAGCTTTGCCAACACAGGAACCTACCAAACTAAAATACTTCAGAAGATGCCTGGGATTAAACAATCCTGCAATATGATTTAAAACAGGGGTCAGCAAACTTTTTTCAGCAGGGGGCCGGTCCACTGTCCCTCAGACCTTGTGGGGGGCAGACTATATATATATTTTTGGGGGGTGGGGGAAATGGACAAATTCCTATGCCCCACAAATAACCCAGAGATGCATTTTAAATAAAACGACACATTCTACTCATCCAAAAACACGCTGATTCCTGGACCATCCATGAGCTGGATTTAGAAGGCGGTTGGGCTGGATCCGGCCCCCGGGCCTTAGTTTGCCTACCCATGATTTAAAATGCCAATACCTATCAAGGGTTTGAAGTAAACAGCTATATCAAGGGCCTTATTATTAGAACACTTCTTCAATAATGCAACAACACTGCAATGCATAAAATTGCATGTCCAGGATTTACCGTTAGCTGTCCATTAGAGACAGTGTGGTGCAGCAGTTAGAGTGTTGGGCTAGGATCTGGGAGGCTAGGGTTCAAATTCCCACTCGTCCATGAAGCTCACTGGGTGACCTAAGGTCACTCAGTATTTCTTGGCCTAAGTTACCTCTCAGGGTCATTGGGAGGATAAAATGGGGAGGAAGAGAGTGATGTATTGCCATCTTGAACTCCGAGCATTGCCTCTCCTCAAGTGAACTGACCTGGGTCCTGCCATCACCAACTGAAACCCTTTTGTGTGCCCGCCTCCCATAGGAGGTTGAAGGGTGGCAAAGCAAAAATGAGCCTTTTCTGTGGTGGCTTTCCATTTGTGGAACGCTCTGCCAAGGGAGGCTCACCTGGCACCTTCATTACATATTTTTAGGTGCCAGGCAAAAACATTCCTCTACAAGCAGGCCTTTGCCTAATTAAACTATCTGCAGCTTTTTAAACTGTGTGTGGGGTATGGTTTTTGTTTACTATTATGGTATGTAGTTTCGTGTTTCTATATTGTAAACTTCACTGTGATCCTTGGATGAAGGGTGGTATAGATATTCAATAAATAAAAAAATGAAATAAAATTGAAGGTAAGGTGGAATAGAAATGTAATGAATAAAATTACCTGTGCACCTGTATACATCTCTAAAGGAATAAGAAACCTGAGGCAGGAATATAAAATTAAAAGTGACAACTATTGGTAAAGGATCAGCAGTAGCAATCCTTTCTTGATCCATGGAGCTGTGAGCCACATCCATGAGAAATAACTCTGCTTTCGAAGTTACTTATCACAGAATGAAGGAAAAGAGAGTCAGGCTGCTCTGACATTTCCAAGTTTTGTTATTTCTTTTTTAGAGGTTAGATTTACTTTCTGATCACATTAAAAACAATAGGAGTTGAAGTCGGCTCAGGAGTTGATACTCCAAGCACTTCCCCATAGATCATGTAAGGATCTGAAACAGATGAGTTTTGCCCTCTCAGCTACAATAACCCTTGCCTTAAAGCAAAATTATTTTGGCAACCATCCCGGGCCTGGCAGGTCAGAAGAAAGGGGAAGAAGATTATGCCGCAACTGGGGGGAAGTCCCTGGGAAGCACTGAAAAGCTCAGAGATGGGAATAGTTGCCAAAACGGCCTTCATCACTGATAATCAGCACATTGCAGATTCTCAGGTCAGCCTGCGTTGGCAAAAGAGAATTGGAATGCCACCTCCCAGTTCAGCAAGGCATACGCAGAGAACTGGCCCACACCAAACCCTCCACAGCCAGCATGTGTCTTCACCTCCTTAGGAACGTCTTCTTCACACTTTTAGAATGGTGTTTCTGCATAGTAAAACAGTATACAGTATATGAGTTAGCTCAAGAGCTCTCCCCCACCCCCAGCTTTCTTTACAATATATGGAAACGGTTTCCGACTGATCTTAGTAAATTGTCAGCTTGAGCTTTGAGCGAGTCTGCTGAAGAGCCCATGGTGTTGCTCATGTTGACTTTGTCGTTGCCCTCCTGGTGTCGGCTGTTATCGTCCGCCGTGTCTTGCTGCTTGCAAAGAGCCTTCAGCTCAGAGCTGTCATTGCCTGTGGGTGCAAAACTGTACTTCAAATGCTTTCTTTTCCCTTTCCTTCCTCGGCAGGATTTATGTGGGCACCATTCATGTGATACTCTGGGAATGGCTGACGTTGGAACCATATGCTCTCCTGAGCGCAGCTGTGCAGTGATTGAAGATGACGGCCTCCATGCGGCTTTTACGGTGGCTCACGAAATTGGTATGCAGTGCCTTTTCTGTTCCCTTGCCAAATACAACACTTGTAACAGCTGCATTAGTAACCAAAATACTTTACAAGTAATTCCAGATTTCCCCCTGGTTCACATATACACTTGGGGATTAAGGCTGTGTACATAGGCACTTTGGGGTTAACTAATAGGGGATCAGAAGGCAAGTGGAGGTACACAGTAGGTGTTTCCTTTCTGACAGTGTCACTTTTAAGCAATGATCGGAATGGAAATTGGAGGGCTGCTACTGTCCATTCATGTCCCTTTCAAAGAGGGGTCCCTCCCATCAATGAAGAATTTGAGCTCACTTGGCGGGTAAACAGCTTTCTATATATGTCTGCCTACTGGGTTAAGTGGCTTGCTGTTTATATTGTACCACCACATTCCTCTGAATGGCAAGATGCAAGTTTCAAATGATGGGGTAATTGGAAATTCTGGTGAAAGGGAGCACTGTTTATCTCGGGCAGTGGTGTGACTGTAGGGGTGTAACTTTAGATAGCAGTGAGGTTCAGATAATCAAGGCTCGTCTATTGGGGATTCTACAATAATTACAAAATAGACCCAGGAACAGACACCAGGATTATTTTGGAATGTTTTCTTGGCAGGAAAAAAGAGCTGACATTAACGTTCACAAGCAAGTTCAGATTTTCTATGCCATCGCCCAAGTGTATTCATGAACTAGAGATAATCTATTGGGGGGGGTTATTAACATTTTCTCTTTTAACATTTCCTCTTCAAATAGCTAATTTTGGCATTTGCAAGTTCATTCCTATGCAGAATAGCAGTAGCTTGAACACTACTGCAACATTTTTCAAGTAGGTATTTCTGGGTATATTTAACTAAAAGTATATTTGACTGGATGGTCATATTAGCTGCCAGCTATTATAGCACTGGATATTAACAGCAAGCTTTGGTATCATGTTTCACTTCCCATTCCTTTTTTTGAATGGCAAAAATAATGTAAGGCTTTTCTAATGTAGATATTACTAAAAAAAAATTATACGTGAATTAACCACCTTTCAAAATACAATATTCTCGCAAGGCAGCTTAGAATATCTGAAACCGCCGCACAACTAAAAACATATACAATTATACTAACAATGCATCATGCAGTCAGGAAACAATAATATCGCACTATCCATAACAGCAGTTTCATAGAATGATAGAATTGTAGAGTTGGAGGGAATCCCAATGGCCATCTAGTCCAGACCGTGCTGTCACATGGAGGATGGAGCAAGCTTGTTTTCTCCTGCTCCAGATGCTGGAACCTGAACCAATGGCTTCATGTTACAAGGAAGGAGATTCCAACTAAACATCAGGAAGAACTTTCTGATGGTAACAGCTGTCCGGTATTGGAACGGTCTCCCTCAGGAGGTTGTGGACTCTCCTTCCTTGGAGATTTTTAAGCAGAGGTTGGATGGCCACCTGTCATGTGTGATCTAGTTGAGATTCCTGCACTTCAGGAGGTTGGACTAGATGAGCCTTGGGGACCCATTCCATGTCTACAATTTGAAAGTGGCAAAATAGCTTTTCAAAGCCAGCAAGCACTGATTATCACACCAGAATCACTCAAGGTGCTTTGCAGTCCTGCTTCCCTGAGCCAAGTCAACCTTCCCTACTGACTGGCACCTTTGGCAAGATCAGGTCTGTTTCCAGTGTTGTTATTTGGAGTGGCAGGAACATGATCCAGGCAGCTCAGGCACCCCATGGCAGATCAGGTGCCGGTAGGCTGATGTGAAGTTTCAGGTGCAGCACCCAAGCTGAGGCGTGCCCTGCACTACACGTACTCTCAAAACATTGCCAGGGGAAGATCATTTGTAGCTTGGAGCATGGATGTTAAGGAAAGGGTTATTACTGAGTGGCAGAACATATGATCTGCATGTAGAAGACCCCAGATTCAATTCCTGGTATCTCCAGGCAGGGCTTGAAAGGACTCGTGTCTTATACCTTGGAGAGCCCTTGCCAGTCTCTGTAGATATTATTGAGCTATAGAGAGGAATGGTCCCCCTTAAACGCAAGGAAGTTTCCTGCATTCCTAAAGTGTGGGTCAGTTTCAGCGACGAACATGTACAAACACAGCAGCTGCCTTTTCCAGTGCCCAGAGAACCCACAGCTTTTTCAGCTTTAATTCACGTAAGGAAGATGATCCATCCAGAGTTTAGCCAGAGAACAGCTGGCTGTAAATTTAAACGACAGCCTTTATTTTACACTGAGCTGTTAAGCGCAGGAGGAAGCAGGAAGAGAGGGCTGTTCCAAAATCAGCCCTCCTTTTACCAGGGGGTCTCTTGTGCCAGCTAGACATTCTGTAAGATGGAATATAGGGTGCTTCTTGCCTAAAGTAACAGCCGTGGTGAAACTCGGGGTCCCTGTTTACCAAGAGAGCAGGCTTTTCAGGTCTACAGTTGCCTTGCATGCTAACATAGTCACAATCGCTAGAGATGTTTTCCATGAGGAACATTAGCTGTGCAGAGTGAACACTAAATTTAAAAATGGAAAACAGTTCTCCCTCACCATTTTACATTCTTGGAAGGAAATAACAAGGCTAAGGGAACTTTCAGAGAGTGCCAACTACGGCTTTGCCTTGTAACTTGTGCCAAACCAAAGTAAAGTTTGCTTTGGGAGTATTGCCGTGCCAGTTCAGTTTTCAAACAGCGAGCAGGTAGGATGCAAGGGTGTTGTGCTTAATATCATTTGACCCTAACATAAAGAAACACACAAAATCTGAAATCATGGGTTTTATTAGTAGTGCTAATGTAACTACTGACACCGGACACCCTTTAGCAAAGGAGGAGCTCTAGTCTGGAAACATTTGGAAATAGATCATAACAGTGGCATATTATTGAGGCTCTCTACCTCAGGAAACAAGCCGCTTGAGGCTGCCAAGTGTCACTAAGAGCTGAAAGGACCTGTATCTTTGTGACAGAAAGTATCAGTTGGCAAGAAGAGACCTCTTCCTGAAACTTTGGAGAGTGGCTGCCAGCTAGAGTAGACCTGGGATCACCAACCTGGTGCCTGTGACTGCCATGGCATCCATGAAGGCTTCCAGTGACCCCCTGGGTAGATGCTCCAGTGCTACTAGAAATAAAGTTATGGGGGAAAGCATACAGGTACCCCTAAACAATTTATCTGAAATGAGAGTGGTGTTGGTACAGTCAAACCTCAGTTCTCAAATGCCTCCGTTTTGGAACGTTTTGGCTCCCGGACACCAAAAACCCAAAAGTAAGTGTTCCGGTTTTCGAAAATTTTTATGAAGTCGAAAAACCAATTGGAAGCCGCACCATGGTTGTTGAACATTTTGGAAGCCAGACGGGCTTCCTGAAAGCATTACATTCAACAACCGAGGTTTGACTGTACAGTACCTTAATATTTTTCCTGGTACTGAGGAATGCTCCCTACAGCAACAGTGTCAGGATGTGTGTATCTTCTCCATAATCAGGACCAGCAAGACAGAATCATAGACTTGGAAGGGACCCTGAGGATCATCTAGTCCAACCCCCTGCAAGGCAGGAATAGGCAGCTGTCCCCTACAGGCATTGAACCTGCAACCTTAGCATTATCAGCATCACACTCTAACCAACATAGCTGACTCCCCCTGGTAAGCATAAGGTTGTCAGGGGTGGCCATCTCTCTAATTTTGTGTTATGACACACTCCCCATGGTGGCTATTTCCTGGTATGCCACAGCCCCTCCATGAAAGCCATTTTGTGCATGGTTCCTCCGGCACGTTCTCAAAATTTGAAATGTAGTAGTAGACTGCATTGCTGATTCCCCATTCATGGTGCACCCTTCCTAGGGAAGCTCACTTGAAGCCAACAGCACTATCTTGAAGAGGCCAACTAACCCCTGCTTTATTTTCTGAGTCTTTTATCTTTCATACAGTTATAAAAATGGCCAGTGTTTCTTTCTTGTCTGCCTGCGGCTTTATAATGTGTTTTTATTCTTGTGACATTGTAATAGTGTAGAGCACCCTGGATATAAATTTATTCAAGGGTGGTATAGAAATCTGCTAAATTAATTCTATATTTGCTTCTACCCTTCTCTTTAGCTATAATTTAAACTGCCAGATTGCTCATGTGACAACAGCAAATATCACATAAAAGGTGGTTATTTGAAGGTTTTGTCGTAAAGCAATTCAGTGGCTGTTAATGGGAAGGGGAAATTATTCCCACGTGAAGAGGTTTTTTAATTGGATGTCTGAATCCATTCTGTAGAAATTTTATTTGCTTTTGGACTCCCTGGTTGAATAGCTTCTCTCAAATAGGTTTGTGCTGCTGTTATTCTTGCATAGCCAGCCCTTTCAAAAGCTGCACAGTCTCATTACTCTATGCTACATAGGGATGAGCGAACCTTGTTGTTCTCAGTTTCTCATTTTTCCAATCTTAAAGGTAAAGGACCATTAGGTCCAGTCATGGATGACTCTGGGGTTGTGGCGCTCATCTTGCTTTACTGGCCAATGGAGCTGGTGTACAGCTTCCGGGTCATGTGGCCAGCATGACTAAGCTGCTTCTGGAGAACCAGAGCAGTGCACGGAAATGCTGTTTACCTTCCCGTTGGAGCGGTACCTATTTATCTACTTGCACTTTGACATGCTTTTGAACTGCTAGGTGGGCAGGAGCAGGGACAGAGCAATGGGAGCTCACCCCGCCGAGGGGATTCGAACCGCCGACCTTCTGATCGGCAAGCCCAAGAGGCTCCGTGGTTTAGACCACAGCGCCACCCGTGTCCCTGCCTTCCAATCTTAGGTTCAGATAAATTATTATCACTTTAGTGTGAATTTCTCCCAAATCACACATTTGTGTACACGTTTGTGCAAGTCTATCTCCTAATATAATGCATTTTTCTCTATGTTATTTTTACTAATAGATGCCTTTTCAGGCAGTAGTATATTCACTTTTGTACACATTGCTTGGCTGGAGGACCACACTGAAAACTTGGAAGGAATCTGAATGGTGCCGTCTGGGTGTCCTTGGACTGCAACTCTCATCATGGCCAGTAGTCGGGGATTCATCCCATTTGAAGGGCACCTCATTGTCTACCCTTACATTAGAGTAGCAGTTTCCAGAGGTCTGGCTGTGTTAGTCTCTTGCAGAAAAAATACCCAAGTCTTATTGTTTCGTGGTACCTTAAACTCAAACAAATGACATTAGCATTTGGTAGTAGACACCGCTGCTGCTGCTGCTGCTGCTGCTGCTGCTGCTGCTGTTGTCCTGCTGCTGTTACAAAAGTTAACCTAGCCACACCCAGAGCTCTGAAGAATGTAGGAAACAACTTGTGGAAGTTGCAGGAAGACACTGAGATCAGGAGTGAGCTTTCTCCTCCCGATCCTTGCTCACTTTCCTCCTTGCAGGTTGAAGATGCTGACTGGATAGGGAACTCCCATCTTTATTTGAGTACAGGATTTCTTGGCTGTATCCCTTGCATTCTGTCTACCAGACTAAGTACAGACGGGTGTGAGCAGCCTGAAGGCCCTTTCCTAAATCCACTCCAGTTTGGATAGCATTCTGGGGGGGTACAAACTGAATAAGCTCTTTGTCTGGACAGTGCCCGCCCCCCCTTCAAGGGGAAAATTTGTTTTTCCTAGCTACTTTCACCACTAGTCTTAACAACTTTCACTCACCAGCAGCAGCTTTCACCACCAGGCAATAGTGTTAAAAGTGCTCTTTTTAAAAAAATGGAAATGACATAGTCACATGTCATGGCTTGTATGAGGGCAGCATGAAAATTAACCATTCAGATTGATCAACTCCAAGCATTTCCTTAACTAATACAAGGAGATTTGCTTAGAAAATGAATTAGTTTACATTATAATTATTAACCTTGGCCAAATTGGAGATTGGAGGAAGGGCTGTAGCAGTACCAAGGTAGGGTACCTATTTTGCATGCAGAAGATTCTGGCTTCAATTCCTGCTATCTCCAAGTAAAGCAAGGGAATTCTGAAGAGCTGCTGCCAGGTGGTTTAGCCCACAGGTAGGCAACTTGTTGCGCATGAGCCACATACAGCCCCCAAACTCATATACTGTGGCCCCTGGTGCCTCCTGAAGCTGTCCATTTTTGCATCTTGGCTTCTTTTTTTCTCCCCTTCCTTTCTGTTCATTTCCTCCTATTTATCTTGTGGGGTTTTATTTTTAAAAAGTGCTCCCCCTCACTATGTAATTTCATACAGTGGGAGGGGCAGTATTTCGTTTGATTAAAAATAAATTCATTTTTAAAAATATTTTTACATGCAAGCAGCGTGCCCGAACAGGACTACCAGTTTTACTGATTCAGTCCTCCCCAACCTGGTGCCCTCCAGACATTGTTGGACTCCAACTCCCATCAGCCCCAGCCATCATGGCCGATGGTGAGGAGTGATAGGAGTTGTTGTCCAAAAGCATCTGGATGGCACTAAGTTAGAGACAGCTGTAGTGGTTTGCAAATATAGGACAGATCAGATCAGTTTTTTAAACAATAAGAATCCCTTAAACTCATAGTTCTCAAATATTAAAATGTTTTGTCCTGTTGAGCTGTAGGGGACCTGCTTGGATGGGAAGTTTTACTGGCACACCCCCCCCCCCCAGTTCATTGGAACTCAACCTGTTCAACGTGAGTCTCCATCTGTTTTTGGACTACAACTCCCACAATCCCTAGCTAGTAAGATCAGTTGTCAGGGATGATGGGAATTGTAGTACAAAAACAGCGGGAGACTCAAGTCCAGTGGAGTGGCCATGTTAGTCTACTACCAGAGATGGAACTAGCTTCACCATCTTACACATATTTCCATGAATAGCTGTCTTTTAAAAGCATGCCATATGCTACATGGCCCTAGACTCAGACATATTTTCTTCCCCTGCTCTTGGCAAAAATCACTGTTGTTACTGATGATGTCAACCCGGCTATATCCAGAGGTCTGAACAATATAGAAGTAGACTTGTAGAAGGAAAAGGCTGTATACCAGACAATGGTCTAAGATGTTCCAGGAAGTGGTCATGGAATGGGCATGGGACAAATCTCATGGATGCAGGAAAATAACTTCCATAAGGCTAGCTAGCCGCATGCATCTGTTTTGCATGCGGTTGACTTTTATGTATAAGTATGTGTGGGAGGAATGAAGAAGACAATAGAAGAGAAGCAAAGAGGGTTGTACTGGCTTGGGGAAAGCTTGGGCATCAACAGAGATCAGATGGGAACAAATGTTTCTACTCACGTTCTCTTCCTTGATATTTCCAACCACCCAGCGCTCAACCCCAGTTGATATTTTAAACGCAGCCAGGTTTCCTTTGTGTTACAGTTAAAGACTATGGGTGTGGGGAATGAGTTACAGTTGCAGAAATCAACAACAGTCAAACTTCTTGAGATCTGTGCCTTAGTCAGTATAGATGAGGGGAGTCCTGGAACCTTATCTCAGGACAAAATATATAGGTGAGTGGAGCAATTGCAGGAGTGATGAGGTTGGGGCAGAGGCAACTTTAGGGCAGCGCGACTGGTTCCCCCGCATTGAGTGCAAAGCCAAGAGGAGGGTACCACAACTATGGCGCTGTGCATGTGCAAAATGGAAGGTAGGGTGCACAAATTTTGGCTTTGAAAGACCAAAGTCCACTCCTGATTGGGGATGCTGTGTGTCTGCAGAGAATATGAGATTATCTCTGTGTGTCGGCTCTATGTTCTAGTATGCTTGAAAAAGAAAGAATGCTTTCTGCACAAACCTGCCATAGTTGTAAATAGGCACTCCTTGCCTCTGCGGCTACCTGGGCCTCAAGTGACAAAGCCGTATCAAGGAGCACCCCCAAGTAACAGACTTGGCCTTTTCAGCGGAGTTCAGGCTCTCTCTCTCCTCTTCTAGGGCTCAAGAATTTTCAGATTACAGTGGCACTAATGCCCAAACACTTTCACCTGGTTTCTGAATTTTCCAGTGGCAGGGCAGTAAGGAGGGTCTCACTGGAAGATGCCAACTAATAGGCGAGGACATAAAGAGAGAGGTACTCCCTCAAATAGTTAGGCCCCACACTGTTCAGGACTTTATATGTCATTTGTAAAAATCAAAATTCAGTCCAGAAACAAAACACCAACTAATGCATATATTTAATAACCGGTGTAATATGGTTCCAGCTGGTGGCCCAACTCAGAAGAGGCATCACAGGTAGATCTTTGTTAGATTCTGTATGAGATAAATGGCAAGGCTGGTGCAGTAGAGATGGTACAGACGTCAAGGCAGATGAAAATAGGAAGATGCCCTGCTGAATCACAGGATAGAATGCAAAGCAAAGGCAGTCTGCTGTCAATAGCTTTCTTTTTCCTGATGGCATTGGTGCAAGTTTATATATATATATGTAGAATGTAGCCAACGTCCTCTGTAACAGGTGCATTCAAATCTGTGATTCAGTAATTTATACACAATGCTCAACCTAATAGCAGCATGCACTGCTTTAAGCAAACACTGTGTTCCGTATGGGTAGTTTATAATTTGAAAAGTGCATGTAAAAACATTATAAAATCCACTGTTGCTTCTTCTTTTTTCAAAGCCCGTGCTGAACAGGGAGCTTTTTGAGTTGAAGGCTTGTCAGGATAGCTTAGATAAGAGCAAGCCCTAGGCTAGACAGGAGCAAATCTTTTGGAGTCCTTATGGGCAAAAGAAACAATTGTGAAGGATGTCTAGCTTTCATCTTGGCCTTCCCCTGGGAGAGATAAAGTTTGGGCAAATATCCAGGTGTCTGAATCAGGCTCTGTGGCTTTTCTAAAAACCCAGAGACTATAATTAACCCACAGCTGCTCTGCTGACATCTGTGGGAAGAAAATATTTAATGCATTCGCATTGTTACTTCTTTGAAAAGTTCCCCATTTAAGGTTCTGGTGCGAGCAAAGCATTTGGGCTAAGCCCCCATAAACATGCTTACTCGGGCAAAGAGAAAAGATGAGCACTCAGCATTAAAGCCTTGGTGAGAGGTGAGCAATAGGGCAGAGACTTCAACTGTTGCTTTCAGCCTTGGGCATGACCTTTGCAAAAGGTTGCTGATTAATGCCAGTTTAAACTTTGACTACAAATTCTTAGCTTGCCCAGGTCTGTTTTCATTAACTTGTAAGGGCAATAATTGTCCCACCTGCTGTACGGACATGGTGGCATGAAATTTCCCCTTTCAATGAAAGCTGTTCTGTTCTGTAATTGGCATGTCAGACGAGAAGGAAACTCCATTGCTTCAGAATAATGGGGCTCTTCAATACTTTTTCTACTGCTGATATTCTTGAGTGTTTTTAAAAGCAGAATCCAGTCTTGCAGTTACAGAGGCTGTGAAGTGATTTTTAATGGGAACTCAGGCATGTGAAAATCAAAGGGAACAATTCTAGCCGAGACCATGGAAGTACTTCAGACACAACAGCATCTCCACTTGAGTTTGGCTGTGGTTAAAGTTTGTGCTGATCTCTGTGTGAATGTACCCTCTGTGGATGATTAGATTAAGAGAGGTCATGTTTTCAAAAGTTACACAGCAGAGCTCGAAACCTCAGCCAAATATCCAGAGCCAAATCTCAGTATCCCTGCCCTCAGGAAAGCAGCAGGAAACCGAGATTGACCTCAGCTCTTGGAATCTATGTTTGAAGGGGGGGGGAGATGAATGTATGATAAGCATGGATGTCAGTATCTATTATATTTTTACTGCAAAGCAAGCAGTGGCATTAGTAAACAATATGATATTAGACTCCCATTAAATGTTAGCATCCTGATGTTGAAATTTGACCTTGAAGAAATATGACCTCTGTGTGTGTGGCAAAATATAACAGGGGCAGGGAGAGAGTTTTCTAAGAAGACAAGCATCTTAGTAGCTGACTGGTATTCAGGATCATACCATGTGTGTTTAGCACTAAAGCTTTACTGTTTTAATACCTTAACATTAAAAAATCCTTATCTGCATATCATTAGCCTCAGGCCAAGGCTGATGCCAGATTTGAGGGGGCAACGTGCCCTCTGATTGGCTGCCTCTCTCCCTTGATGGGCTCTGGCAGTCTTGTCTGGCCATGGTGGCAAGTAGCAGCAGTGCACCAATTCGTAAAGGTGTAACTGGACGATCCCATTTTAATTTCCCACTATGCTCCACTGTCATGTTAAATGGCATGCCAGTTAGATCCAGCTGCCAGGTGCTGCTCATAGCACCAGGCCAGGAAATTTTCTTAAAGGGGGCCCAGGGTAGGTTTCAGTGGTGCCCAAAGATGTCTGATGCTGTAGCCACCCCTGGTTACCCAAAAGGTTAGAAGACTGCAGCCTGCAAAAAGCATCACTTCTTGGTGTGTAGCTTGCAAGGAACATACCTAACACACTGCTTTTCAAATCAGCACATTGCTGTGTATGTACAAGTAAACAAGTTACTGCATAGTCTTTGTGGCTGACTCAACCTGGGCATGTAGCTTGACATCCTGCTGCCTCAGTTATGCCAGCTGGTAAGTTAGGTAAAAGTCATGGCCACACTGAGAAACAGATGTCTCATGCGAGCTGTGATTTCCTGAGTAAATATATTGTAAGATGTGTGGCATTCTTAGCAAGCTGTGTCACTGCTTCTGTCCAGTGGTCCAGCGTAAACATAGTGACAGCAATGCTCTGATGGAATAAAAAGTAGTACACCTGTGCGTAGTAATAATTCTTTTCCAAACACTTCTGTTTAACTTCATTTTCATGCCTATATGTTGTATTGGACTATGGAATTGCAGTGCTTCTCTGTTTGCAGGTCAAGGTACAGGGAAACAAAAACACAAGCAGTTTTAGATTTGCTTTTGAATTCCATGTATTAAGAAACAAAACAAAATTCCTACATTATTTAGAGCAGAAGTACTTAAACCATGGTCTTCAAGGTTGATTCAAATGGCTCATGAAAAGGCTGCAGAACAGTCAAGAATGTTTTCTTTCTGACAGTGACCAAGGCCATTTTGATAGGAAATTATTGAGTAACTAACAAGGTTCTGGCCGAAGGCCCCTGATCTTTATACTATGGTGCTGGTTTTGCTGGTGATGCCAGCACTGGGGAAAAAAAGTTATTAAAAACAAGTAATGTATGTGCTTTGATTTGGAGAACAAAATAGTTTATTAGAGTTTATTAAGCTTATTTAAAAGGTTGTTAAATGGTCTGTCAAGACCCCCAGCCATTTTCAAGTGGTTAAAGGAAAATTAGATTAAGGACCACTGATTTAGAGCATGCGTTTTGGAATTGTCATGGTCCTTTGATGAATGGGCAGTGCATGTCACCAGAATGCCTGTATATATGCATTTCATTTGTTTCCCTTACATTTATGTATGTATGTATGTATGCAGTCATTCATATGTGCAACTGTTCAACACAATTATTTTCAACAAAGAACTGTGCTGACTTCTTTTTTCCACACACCTCTTCCCCTTAACCATATGCTACATATGTAAGATTCATTGAAGTAGAATTGAAATCTATGAGATTATACTGAAATGTATGGCATCTAAATTGCAAGCATAATATCTTAAAACAAACTTCAGAATGAAAAAAGGGCTAAATACAACAAGGCAAAATATCCATGAACCAACAAATCAAGCTCTAAAATCTGTCAGCAAATGTAAGCACCAGGAATATTCTCTTGTCCTCTTGTTACCACTACAACCACCTTCCCTTTAAAAAGAAAAGAAAAAAGCATCAGATACAATCCAGGGTTCTCTAAGCATGCAATTGCAGCATCAAAAATTCCAACCCAAATATTTTTGGTGAGGCCCCTTCAATTGTGCTATGATGTTTTCAACCTCTTAAGTGAAAATATTTGGTTGCTGCAATCAGTTCCTAAAGTAACTGAGCAGAGAGAATATCTAATCACAGAGCTGCTTGTACAACTGAAGGGCATTGCTTCAGTTGCAAGGGGGTTGGGGGAGGTAAGAGAAATAAACCCAAATAATGCTGCAAGTTGTAGTGGAGTAAGTCCTTAATGTATAGCTTTGATTTAGCTAATGGAAAATCAACATGAACTTCACAACTTCTATAAATATGGACGCACATACCCTAAAAGTTGGTCATGTAACCACTGTTCTGTTAGGTGTCAGCTGTGTAATGTTACAATCATGCTTTTCATAATAATCTTGGCACATTTCTAGACATCGAAGTAGAAATATTTAGCACAGAGCTAAAACATGTAGAATTCAAGTCTGTTTTGAACAAATACAACATGCTCAAATTCGTTACTCATTTTAACCTTCTCCCATGCAACTGAGGGTGTCTAGCTGTGTGGACCAGCGCTCACGGGACTGTGTTTGGTGCTGAAACTTAGTAGGACAGAACACCTTTAGTGTAAAACACGTCCCAAATTCCAGGGGAATTGCCATACGCACAGACACACACCTGAGATAGTACAGAATTTTAGCCAGTCAAAGCGGACACATGGGCCAACTGAAGGGGGTTTGGATAGGTGTCCAAATCTACCATGTACCAGTAAGTCTCCCCAATGGGAATGGTTTTACTTAAACCATCTATTTTGTTAGCATACCATTATTCTGGCACAGAAGATGGGAGTGACCTGTGAGTGGGCCTACTTTTCTTTGTGACAGGATCCCACAGGCACAGTGATACTGCTCACTGGCATAGATTTCACTCTGTCCGTATATTGTTGCATCAGTGCAAATGAATGTAGTAGTGATCCTGTTGCACTCCTCAAGCAAAACTGTTAGATAAGATCACTCCCCTGGTTTTATCCCCCAGAATTTTCTTATTTTAGGACACTTTAAAAAAAAATCTGCATCCCAGCACTTGCATCTTTGCACCACCAACAGCCGGTTCTATTTATCCGATAAGGATGTAGTAGTTTTACGTGCCAATGGAATGGAAACATGTAAAAACTTCCTTTAAGGACTGTTTGCTGAGGAACATTATGCCAAATCCAATTCCACTTATCAAGTAGAATTACCCATCCCAAATCTATCTTGGCTGTTTTCATACTAGTTTTCTATAATATATAAGCCCAATATAATTTCATTTATTTTAATTACTTTGTTGCGTTTTCCTTTATAAGAAATGTTTCAGAATCTGTTAAATGTCCAAATCTTGAAATTAAACTACGATAACACATTGTTCAAACCCCAAAGTCATGGGCATCTTTCCACAGTATACATATATAGGATGCTTCCAGGTAAGCGATTCCTCTGCCTACCAACATGCCTGACAGAGCTTGGCGCTTCCAGTGCAGACACGCCTTTTTCTCGGGACACCACATTCCCAGGTTTTACTAAAACCAGCTCATTAACATATCATTGGCTTTTTCAGAACAAGCTTGATGTCAGTTGCAAATGACTATAATAAGAGCTCAGTTACCTCAGAATTCATTGAAGTGTTGAGTGCCGCCTGCCTGCAGTGCCTTTAAAACAGTGAGTAGAGCATCCTGGTGCCACTCATTCCATGAGTTTGATGCACTCTCTGTGATAACATCAGCCATGGAGACAGCAAAGCCAGCACTGTCTTCAGGTTTCTTAAAGGCATCCTTTGTTTCAGGATGGCCTTTCAAGATTTTTTGGCACTGACAGAGAAAGAAGACTATACAGAGCCTCTGTCTTAAAAAAAAATTCAAATCTGTTGGAAGTATACGAATCCACAACTTGATAAAGGGTGCAGTCTGGCCCATGGTTACATGTCAGGCCCTTTTTGTTGTTGTTTGTTTCAGGAGTCCATAGTATACAGAAGCATAGTACATGCTGAGTACTGTGCTGAAAGTTTTCTGGTGATTTCAGAGCATTATCTCCGAAATGGCAGTGATTTGAAAGGGGAAATTTTCCCCGGATGTTCCCTCAGGGATAAATAAGGGAGAAGTCGAGAGAAGTGAGATTAAGCAATGTGGTAGCATGGAATGACAGCAACTAGGTAAAGGTAAAGGGACCCCTGACCATTAGGTCCAGTCGTGACCGACTCTGGGGTTGCGGCGCTCATCTCACTTTATCGGCCGAGGGAGCCGGCGTACAGCTTCCGGGTCATGTGGCTAGCATGACTAAGCCACTTCTGGCGAACCAGAGCAGCGCACAGAAACGCTGTTTACCTTCCTGCCAGAGTGGTACCTATTGATCTACTTGCCCTTTGACGTGCTTTTGAACTGCTATGTTGGCAGGAGCAGGGACCGAGCAATGTGAGCTCACCCCATCACAGGGATTCAAACTGACCTTCTGACCGGCAAGTCCTAGGCTCTGTGGTTTAACCCACAGCGCCACCCGCATCCCGTGGACAGCAACTAAGGGGAAACCATTTTTGTTTGTGTGATGCTCCTTTTTGTTTGCCACCCCACTCTAGATCTTATAAACAATCTCCCACACCTACTAGTGTTTCCCAGTGAGTTGCGGTTGAAGCTACAAGGATGTGTCATTTGTAGGCCAGTAATACAGTAATGCTACTTCTTCTGCCAACTGTGGGACAAAGTCCTTCTTTAGAATGAGATGTGCTAACAAAATCTATATGCCCATTGCTGAAGTCTCAGGAGAGATGTGTGCTTAGATCCTACCTGCTAGCAGCTTGGAAGCGGGGGCAGCACATATTCCCCTGTGGTGTGTGAGTTCTTTCACTAGCTTGCATTATCAGATTTGTGTAGCAAGCATCCCTGACTTGAAGCATCTTCATCTCCTCCTCTATAGCCCATTATAGCCAGGATCATCTGCAGCAATATGCAGCAGTATTGAGCTGTAGACCTTGGTCTCACATTATACTGTGCTGAGCTTATGTGTGTCCCACTGATGCACACGGTGCCTTGGAACGCAACCCCTGTGTAAATGGGGAGTTGCTTGTACCTGGCAGGAGAGGTACAAACACTATACAAACACTAAGCTATAAATATCTATAGTTTTATATCTAGAATAAAACTTACTGGTTCTCTATGTTAATATCACACTGTGTATAATGATCTAAATAGTTGTGGTCATTTCTGTGGTGCTGGTTCAGAATGGCCTTCTCAAGGAAAAATGCCTCACATTGACATTGCAATCTTTTTGATGCCAGATTAGGACTTTCCTATTTCCCTAGATTAGATTATTTTAACTGGAACTGCTTTCTTTGGTCCTTAGTTTTTTGTGTTTGCTCTACTACCTTTTTTGTGTTTTTTGTTGAGTTATCTTTTGTTTTTGTTGGATATGTGAATAGTTTTCATCACACTTTTGCACACTGCCCAGGAATCTCCTGCTTGAGGGTGATTAAGAAATATTTTAAATGACTAAATAAACGAAATACTGATTCTGAGGGTAGCTCAGTCAGTAGAGCATGAGACGCTTAATCTCAGGGTTATGGGTTTAAGCCTCAAATTGGGCAAAAAGATTCCAGCATTGCAGGGGGTTGGACCCTCGTGGTCCATTCCAACTCTACAATTCTATTATTCAGTTCATTTAGAATATTTATATCCAACTTTATAGTCCCAATCACATTCATAAAGCTTTGCAAGTATAATCCGAAATAACATACTGGCAGGTTTATTCGACAAGCTGCTTTTTTGTCCCCTCATTCTTAAATAAATGACTAATGAATCAATAGTTGCGTGGATATTTTAATTTAAAAGGAGTATTAAGACTGAGATGCTGTTCCGTTTCCTTCCTTCAGGACATCTCCTTGGACTTTCCCATGACGACTCCAAATTCTGTGAGGAGAACTTTGGTTCCATGGAAGATAAGAGGCTTATGTCTTCCATCTTAACAAGCATTGATGCTTCTAAACCCTGGTCCAAATGCACTTCAGCAACAATAACAGAATTTCTGGATGATGGCCATGGTATGTATGGATATCTTAGTGTCCTATATCATGCTGGACATTATGTGCTGCTAGGAACTTTATTTTTAAAAAAAAAACATTTTAACTCTAATTTATAAAATATGTGTTTGTTATTCTAATTAGAATTGAAGTTACTTTCACTTTTCTTTAACATTCTTCATGCTATTACAATAATCGATATCTGACTCTTAAATGCAATGAAATACAGCCCCTGACACTCTGCTACCGCTACCTAAATGACGAGGAAAAGCAGTAGTAGGAATAGTAAATAGCAGTGAGATGTTGTATTAGTAATAGTGGTAGATAAAAATAAGTAGTAATAGCAAATATCAAAAGGATTGCAAATAGGTAGATTATTTACAACAGTGTGAAGTACAGTGGTCCCTCTCACTTAGTCTAGCCTAAGTCATGGCAGTGGTTGCCATGAACCAGGGCTAGGAAACATTACAGTGCACAAGACTCAAATAAGGATGGGGTTTGGGCTACTTCCTCAGAGATGAAACCTCCAGTACAGTGGTACCTCGGGTTAAGTACTTAATTTGTTCTGGAGGTCCGTTCTTAACCTGAAACTGTTCTTAACCTGAAGCACCACTTTAGCTAATGGGGCCTCCTGCTGCTGCTGCGCCGCCAGAGCACGATTTCTGTTCTCATCCTGAAGCAAAGTTCTTAACCTGAAGCACTATTTCTGGGTTAGCGGAGTCTGTAACCTGAAGCGTATGTAACCTGAAGCGTATGTAACCCAAGGTACCACTGTAGGCCACTTTTATCACCAGTTGGCAGGTAGAGAACTAAAATTGAGCAAAGTGACTTGCCCAAGGCATCAGGGGCTAAACAGAGATTTCAACTCAGGTTTACACGTCTTTTCAGAAGACAGCCCTGCTTCAAAAGCTGAGTTTGATTTATTTAGCTAATATTAGTATTTCAGTGTTCTTTCCCAGCTTCTCCTTAACAACAACAAAATGCTCTTAAAATCCTTCACTGTGCTGCTAACGCAACTGCAGCTCTTAAACAACCTTTTCAAATTCCAGAATGCTTAGATAAAAATGACCTAACTGAACGAATGGATCTCGTTGTTATGGAAACTGAAATCCTTATGGATGAAAAACATACTATATGCATGCAGCACTTGTAAAAGGCAACATTGTGTAGGATGGTTTTGAGTGCTGTGTGCAATGGTATGTTTCATGCCGTTATCATTTGTCGATAACTGCCTCTAACACAGCCAAATGGGTGGGGTATAAATAATAAAATTATTAGTATTATTAACTTTTTGCAATTTTATAAGGCATTTATTAAAGATCTACAGTTGTATTTCCCATAGTATATCTACACTTCTTTAGTGTTGTCTTAAACACGTTGCATTGCAGTCTTATCCAAGTTAACATTAGGTGGACAAGGATGGGATTGCAGCAAAAGTCCATTCGCTAGTGTAGCTCCAAGTTGTGATGGTATAGTCACAAGATTTAACATAAGGTTAAAGTCAGTGTAAGTTCTGTGCAAATGTAATTAGAATGGCATAAGGAGAAGCAATGGATAGGGGTCTCATTCTGAGCCGAATGGGTGGCTTAGTCTGATTCTTATTCTCCCCCAGGCTAGGCCCCAACTCCCCTGTTGGCACCAACAAAATAACTGTTATATGAAAATAAGCACTCACAAGAGGTAGTGGAGAGCTCAGAAGAACTCCTCCCTCTCCTCCATACCCTCTTCCCACTATCACTAATGGTGGATGATGCAGAAGCCAGTCATAGCACACCATCAAAAGTCCATGAGGCACACTCATACATTAAGACGTGTGAATGTCCCAAAGAAGCAACTTGTGAGGTGGAGTCACTATGCTAGTTTCCTGGCAGGTGGTAGAAGAAGTCAGGAGAAGGAGGCAGTGGGGAGGTCAGCAGAGTACAGATACGTTGGCAGAAGTGCCAGATTGGCTCTACCCATGCATTTGCACCACCCTGACCTCCCTGTCACTTTCTCCCCTCCCTCCCAGCAAGCAACAGCGACCTACCTACTAGGAAGCTAGCATAGCAGCTCTTCCCCCACCTGGCCAGCTGCTTCTGCTGCATCTATGAAACATGAGAATGCAAATAGGAACTGTGGTGGAGGAATATTCAGTTAAAGGCACAGTTTGCACAATCAACATGATACTTGGGGAAGATGTGTGTTACAGGGTTCACTCCCAGGATAACAAAAATCCTATACAGTGGTACCTCAGGTTAAGTACTTAATTTGTTCCGGAGGTCCGTACTTAACCTGAAACTGTTCTTAACCTGAAGCACCACTTTAGCTAATGGGGCCTCCTGCTGCTGCTGCGCCGCCGGAGTACAATTTCTGTTCTCATCCTGAAGCAAAGTTCTTAACCTGAAGCACTATTTCTGGGTTAGCGGAGTCTGTAACCTGAAGTGTATGTAACCTGAGGTACCACTGTAATGTGTCTCCTTTCTGCTCTTACATGTGTGTGTTGAGAGTAGGATTCTTGCACGCCAACCCTGCCTTCTGTTGTCTCTCCCTTCCCCCCACCTCCGAAACACAATATTGTTGTTTTTGAGCTCCCCAAAAGAAGCATGTGGAGGCATCGAGACACAAAGACTCGCCAGGGACAAGATCTTTAGGTTGTGGAGAACTGGCCCATGAAAACATGACCCAGTGTGTGGCAGTGGTGGGAAAGACAAATTCCATGTTAGGGTTCATTAGAAATGGGACTGAAAATAAAGTGACCAGTGCCTTCATATAAATATGTGGTCCAATCACCCTTGGAATACGACATACATTTCTGGTTGCTGCTTCTCAAAATGAATGCTGCAGAGCTGGAAAATGTGCAGGAAAGGGCAACCAAAACAATTGAGGGGATCAAGCAACTCTTCCATTATGGGAGATGTGCGGCCTTCACTATTACACACATTGTCTGCATAGAAGGATGCAGCAGCACTTGAAGATCCCCACCTCCTGCCCCAGAGATCTATATAGGTCCTACAGCCTAGCCTCCTAACCATTGGCTATGGCATGCCCTAACAGATCAGGCACTGTTGTCGATGCACGGCAGACTCTATGTGCAATTTATGCCTTCCATGCATAGGGAAGACACTGTTGGCAAGTGTCATCACGATTCCCGTAAGTCAGTATAGCTGCTGTGGACTTTGTGGGTGGCTGTCTTGTTAGCCCCCCCTCCCCCCCGCCCGTATTGTTGTTATTATGTTTTGGATATTGTTCCTGGGGGAGCACATAAGCCTAACTAGAACCTTCCACTACCTCTTTCTGCAGTAGTGCCATAGACTTAATCTTGAGCAGTTCTATGTGTGGTTAATAGAGTGTTTCTCAAGCACAGCCTTCATGGTTACTTGCAGCCACCAGCTGGCTTCTGAGCAGCTGCCTCATCATAGACCGCCATTGGCATTTCTCAATCCACACACATAGCAAACTTGCAAAGTAGCTGACTTATTTTTCTGTTTATTGTTAGAATAAACAATGTGGTGAGTAAATATTGAGGGTCACATGCTGAGCTACCAAAAATACTGTTTTAACTCATTAATTGGAACATTTAAAGCAATGAAAAAGCTTGTTTGTAGTGTCTAAATGTGTTTATCCAAGAACTGAGACAGAATGTTTTTGAGAAAAGGAACAGTTTAATCCTTGCATTTAATCCTTATTTGACAGAGGCCCCCAATGTTAAGTTTCTGGGAATTTTGCACCCCTTATCTATTATCCAGAAAGTTCACTTGGTGCACTTCTAGAAAACACAAAGACCAGGGGAAGGAACCTTCAGATACAAATGGAAGCTTTGAGTAAAGTCCTCATATTTATTTTTAATACTGAAGCTATAAATGGGAATCTTGTGGGGCTTTAGCACCCACAGCTGTAAGCAGGTCAGTTTACAATATTACAGAGCCAAGACAGAAGGTTAAAAACCCTGGACAGATTAATAGCAAGACGACATTTAGAAATCTTCACTGCCTTTTGGGCCATAGTTAAGATAGACCTGAATAATACTGTTGGACCAATTACTATAATTGGCTCTTTTGATGCACTGCAGTAAATGTATGTGGTTTTTCCCTGACCTGTCTTATAGGACATTGTACCCAGGGACTTCTTGTGTACTAAGCCATTACTTTTCCACAGACCTATGGCCTCATAGTGCCAGATTACATAGTTTGGTTTGCTTTGCCATGTGCATGGCTGTGAGAAAAGGGAGGCAAACATATGTGTTGTATGTTAGGCTGCTTTGAGACTACAGTAATATGAAGAGTACAGTGTGGTTAAGACAGGAGTGGGTGGTTGACCAGCTTTGTCCCAAGGGCTACAGGATTCCAGCATTTCTTCTGAGGTGGGGTGGGTCTGCCTACATGTCTTCTCCCACCCACAGGGCTATGGACTTGGCTTATATTATAGGAATGGCAGATTTTCTTTTGCTGTGCAGTTCTGGCATTTTCCCGGGCAAAAGTATGCTTGTTTGAAGGATGCTGTTAGCTGTGTGTGGATTTCCATATTAGAAACAACTACTGAGATGATTGTGCTGTTGACTTTGCTGCTAGCACAGTGTAGAATCACAACATTACTCCAGCGTTAGCCATGCTGTATATTGTGGACCATATACAGTGGACTATATAAAGGTAGCAACTGTATATGTTGTAAATGTTTTTCATAGACTAGTAGCCTTGCATCTAGCACTGCTCAAGAATTCTAAGAAGCCAAAAAACAGGGCCATTTTTAAATTCGTGATTAGAATCAGTGGTTTTGAAATATTTATTCAACTGTCTTGATTCAAAATGATGCCCATTTGTATCCAAATATAGACCAAACAAAAAAACCCTTCTTGATCTCAGGAACCATAATGCAAAATTTGGTTTTATCTTAAGATGTGTCCAAATTCATAGCGAACAAGCAACTTTCCCAAATATATAGATGATAAGTTGTTTGGTCTCCTTATCCTATTCATTCTCCAAGCACAGTTCAGCATGCACAAGATAACCCAGGGGTGTTTTATTTCACAACAATGTATCATCAAGTAGCAAGGACACATTATTTTATTTTTAAAATGCAGTGAAATATGCCTGAGGTAAAAGTTATATCCTGCATGCTGGCTCAGGGTCATCAGAAAGCTGATAAAGTTTTAAACTTGAGGAGAGAAATAAGTGATGATGCAGAAGGGTGTTTTAACTAAAACTGAATCATGAGGGGGGCAAATAATCATGGTGGTTGAGTTCTGTTTATGGCAGTGAGGTATCATTGATTTTATTAAAAAGAAATGTTCTGAAATATAGACCTTTATCCCAATTATGTTTTCAAAGTCCCTGAAGTTGGGAGGTATTTATATTCTGCATGCTTTCATCCATCATCAAGTGGAAGTTGGCACTGCTTGCAGCGAGAGACAGGTTGTGGTAATCTATTTTGGCTCAAGAGAAATGAAGCTTTGCTGAACCACAGGCACCCACACAGGACTCTTACAAGGGTTATAAACAAGACAGAAAGCTCTTCAGATTGGCTGTAATTCCCTGTATTAGCATAAGAGCCGGTTACTTCTATGAGAAAGAAAAACCCTCTAAAATTGAATTTCCAGGACAACTACTTGATGTTGTTTTGGCTTTTTTTCCAAAGAGATGGTGCCAGGTCAATGCTTGACATCACAGATAACATAATTATGCCTTATACCATGTTCTTTTCCGTTTATATAGACATGAACTGCTTGTTCTTTGGTCTTGTGGCTCTCCTTGGTTTTAGGGGGTCCCAATGAGCACTTGCCACCAATATTGCCTTTCCTGTGCTGATTTGGTTTTTGATTTAATGAATCCTCCTCCCTTCTTACAAGTTTCCCTTGGCTACAGCTGTGTGTCATGCTTTTTCTGGCTTTCCTTATTAAGAAGGCTTAGCTTTTCAACAGCATGTTCAAATGACAGCTTTGTTTATTTTGAAATGTCTCTCGGTCCCATTGATATATATGGAAGACCTCACTCACAGAGTGGGTTTGAGTACACGGAAATTAAAAAGAAACGAAAACCCCTATGCCCAGTTCTGAAGCTGATAGTACCAATTATAAACTGACATGCAAGCCAGAGCAATCCTTTCTTTTTTTTAATAGTAGGGAAAATACTTTTTCTATATCTGTAATTTAAAGACCAACTTACTCTGGTGGGACTGCTAGAAAATAAAATAAATGGGTTATGAATTGCAGCCTGTGAAATAAAGGTTATTGTAAAAGCAGAGGTTATATAGCCACAAGCAGGTTACAGTTAGAGGTTTCCACATGATATACAAAAGCCCAACGGAGAACTGAATGGATTTGGAACAAACTCTTGATCACTTTATCTAGTTTGGAAGCTTCAGAGGTATGGCAAGCATCATAGAGAGGAAGCAAATTATAAACTGGGTTGTCCTTTCAGGTAACTGTTTACTGGATCAACCACGAAAACAGATCTTGGGCCCTGAGGAGCTTCCAGGACAAACATATGATGCCATTCGTCAATGCAAGCTGGCATTTGGGTCTGAATACACAGTGTGTCCTGGAATGGATGTGTGCTCTCGTCTGTGGTGTGCGGTTGTTCGCCAAGGTCAGATGGTGTGTTTGACCAAAAAACTCCCTGCTGTGGAGGGGACGCCATGCGGAAAAGGAAGGATCTGCCTTCAGGGGAAATGTGTTGATAAAACGAAGAAAAAATATTACTCGGTATGTTGCTACTTTAATGATCAAACCATATGAAAGTGTACAAGGCCCAATCATGCTGTGGCCTGTTTTGAGTGAGAATTCAAGGGAAATTAATCATCAACAGAACAAGGTATTAGTCTAGGCATCCCACTTTTCTTTGTTAGGATACAGTTGATACTGGACCTCTTGCCTGCTCACCTGGATTAAAAAGAATTCTCGAGCTCTCCAACAGCCACAGAACATGACTTCTGCTGGTCCTGTAGTCTAGCATTTTAACAACACTTGATAGGGGCTCCTGCCTTCACTGGAACCAAACTTTCTGGAATTGGAACAGTTTCTGGATACATTTGCCATGACAGTATGTTACCTGGTTGATTGATTATGGGTTGTTAGTGCACAGCCAAGTGATTGTATCTGCACCAGAGTGGGAGAACCTGACATAGCTGCTGGTACAATGGCTGCCCCAGGATCAAATGGGGTGTTAACTCTGAGTTCTTCCTTACCTTGTAGTCCTTGGTTTTAGAAACACAAACTCCTTGTGACCTTAGTGTTACCTTTATCCTGCACTTGAATGCAACATTTTGCAGTACTCACCTAGTTTGATTCTGATCCAATATGGAATATTGAAAAGATAACACGCTAAAGGCAAGAGAACACAAGAAATGCCCTGCCAGATCTGACCAATGTTCCATCTAGTGTAGCATCCTATACCACACAGTGGCCAATCAGATGCCTCAAGAGAAGCCGAGAAGCAGGTCAGGAAGGCAACAGCTCTGTCCTTTTGTTGAATACCAGCTGTTGGTAATCAGTGACATGCTGCCTCTGAACCTGGACATCAAGGTTGCATACCGACATCAAGATTTCTAGTTTCAGTAAAAGAGAAAAAGACGCAGAGAAAGAGCTTTGTTAACCTTTATCCTTTATATTTCAGGCTTCAAACCATGGGAACTGGGGTTCCTGGGGACCATGGGGACAGTGCTCTCGCACATGTGGTGGAGGTGTTCAGTTTGCATATCGTCACTGCAATAACCCTGCACCTAGAAACAATGGCCGGTATTGCACAGGAAAGCGGGCAATCTATCGCTCCTGTAATGTCCTGCCATGTCCTGCCAATGGTATGTTTTCCACAAATCAAAGTCAATAACAATGTCAGAGACTGTGGTACTTCTTAAATAGTGTACAAATGTTGTTTCTTACTGTACCCAGAGCAGTAGTGGCATGGTTAAAGACTCTTGACTATTTCTGCAGAGACTCTAGGTTTAAATAATAATTGACATTTCTGCATTCACTACTGCTCTGGGTTGACTACAGTGACTACATGCACTTTATGCAATTGCAAGTGGTTATCTGATCTAGTGGGTTGAAGAAGAGAAGTCCAAGAAAGGAAGAGTCGCCTAGAGAGATTTTGCATGGACCTGTCAGGGTTTCACTAGATGGGTGTTAGTTGCACATTAGACCTACAGGCCATATACAGTATATCAAGGCTTTTTCCTACTTTATGCTATGACAGCTGTTCCACAGGTGAATCACCATATGGTAACAGTGTGGCATACTGTTTGCTATGATGTTTTGTTTTGTTGGATATGATCCATAAGCTTTGCCTTGGCTGTCCCTTGATAAGATGGATTCTCCATCTTCCAGTGTTGTGAATTTGTGTTTGAAATGATGCACACCTTGTGTGTATGCTAGCATTGGGAGAATATACGTACACAAATAGTAATGAATTATAATCCTTCTCCAGCTAAAGCTTTTCGCCAGGAACAATGTGAAGCCAGAAACGGTTACCAGTCCGATGCAAAAGGTGTCAAAACCTTCGTAGAATGGGTCCCCAAGTATGCAGGAGTGCTGCCGGGAGATGTCTGCAAGCTCACTTGTCGAGCCAAAGGAACTGGCTACTATGTAGTTTTCTCTCAAAAGGTAAATGTAGTTTCAATAACTGCTTCTCTCTCAGATAACAAAATATTTGTGTTATGAATAGCAGGGGTGGCCAAGGTCTGTTTAAGCTGAAAGCTTTTCTATATCCAAATCTTCAACAGCCCCTGGCCAGGCTGTTGCTTCTTCTCTCTCTCCCCCCTGACAGATCTAGCAAGCCCCAGAAAATATGCTAAGCCAAACTTTGTTTTAACTAAGCATGGTGTAGTAGCAAAAAGAACCAGGGAAGGGCAAGGAGGCTACTAGCTGTTTTTTGTGAACCTGCATGCTCACACAGTTTTACGAAGCCAATCTTTGGCTTAGCATGCTGTGGAAATCAGACTATATACATGGGTAAAAGACCTTCTTTGAATTTTGTGGTTTTACATAGGTAAAGGTAAAGGGACCACTGACCATTAGGTCCAGTCGTGACCGACTCTGGGGTTGCGGCGCTCATCTTGCTTTATTGGCCAAGGGAGCTGGCGTACAGCTTCCAGGTCATGTCGCCAGCAGGACTAAGCTGCTTCTGGAGAACCAGAGCAGCGCACGGAAACGTCGTTTACCTTCCTGCTGGAGCGGTACCTATTTATCTACTTGCACTTTGACGTGCTTTCGAACTGCTAGGTTGGCAGGAGCTGGGACCGAGCAACGGGAGCTCACCCCGTTGCGGGGATTCGAACCGCCGACCTTCTGATCAGCAAGTCCTAGGCTCTGTGGTTTAACCCACAGTGCCACCCGTGTCAGGACATAATAGCAATCATCTGTTCCTTAGCAGGTCTTAAAATTAGGTAAATACAACAAATGACATGGTACACCATGTCATGACTCCTCCAACCATGCTTTTTTGTTAACATTGTTTGGTTGGCGAACTGCATCACAAAATTCAGATGACTGCGAATTTGAAAACACAGCTGTGCTTCATTCTTGATACTGTTTTGGAAAGGGTGAATTTGACAGATTCAGCTTTAAATGCAAACCGAATTGAATTCCTGCCATCCCTGCTCTTGAGCTTCCCAAAAAGTTAAGAATGTTCACTAAGAAATCATCCAGAAATGAATCTTAAAACTGTAGTTTTAACCAGCATTGACTTCATCCAACAGGTGACTGATGGAACGGAATGCAGGCCGTACAGTAATTCAGTCTGTGTCCGCGGCAAATGCGTGAGAACAGGATGTGATGGCATTATTGGCTCAAAGCTGCAGTATGATAAATGTGGAATCTGTGGCGGAGACAATTCCAGCTGCACAAAAATTATGGGAACCTTTAATAAAAAAAGGTAAGAATTCTGATCACAGCTATTGTTTTGCAAGCCGAATTGATTATTGCAATGGTGAAAGCTAATTATGTAGGTTTCAGTGAAATACAGTGTTGAATAGCAAATTTGTATGCAAAAATACAGCCAAGAGTACCTCATCTTCCACTGGAAAGGTCTCGCAGGTGGTGCTGCACATTCAAACATAGGGTGTGTAGCAGATGTGTAATAGAACTCATATATAGCAGATAGCAGAGCTTCCACCACTAAGCTGCTTTCCACCAATTTTACACAAACAGAGATTTTGTTTTCACTCAAAGTTTTCTAAAGGCTGCTATATACCTACAGTGAAGGCATTTGTTATTGCCAAGAAAGTACGCCACTTGATTATGTTGGCTTGTTTGCTAGATATTCCTAGCTTTCTAATAATATTTCTAATAACTGATTGGTGGGAACTACCTCACACAACCAAGTTACCACTGCTGTCAAGCTCTGTATATTGTACATTATCATATTATCATCTCAGTGTTAAATGTGCTAAACAAGTTGCCTGAATGCCCTGCTTCAGATAAGCACTCTGACACTGCAGTAATGTGATAATCCTCATCATTATTGTTTTTTGTGTGGATACTTCATCCTTTTTTTGTTCCTGACCAGACTGAGCATTTCAACTATATTTCAAATTTCACATTTTAACTATATAAGACCTCACTTAATGTCAGGTTTCCTGTTATGAAACTCACTCATATATAACACAACTAACACATGAGATGAATAGAGTAATAATTCTTCAAAAAGCAATAGAAATTATACTGTGTAAAATGTATTAATTAAATGTTACCACTAGAGATGGGTGAGCTTTCCAAAGTGGCTTTTGGATTAACTCATAAATTAATACTAGTCAGAAATGAATACTAATACAAAAAGATACTAGTCTCCAATATCAATAATAATATTTATTTTTCACAGGGATTATGAATGAAATAATCTAAATTAGTATTACTATTATTACTTTTGTGTGTGTGCATGTGTATGCTTAATTTTAATTTTCATTCAATTGTATTTTTTCATTTCTTTAAAAAAGCAGGGGGAGAATTCAGGTATATTTTCCAAATTAACTCCACATCTTTTACCTGTCCCCATACAAGCTTGCACTATTAGTATCATTGTTTCATGACATTGAATAGGGGGAAATTAAGAAGACAGGGAAGCTGTATTTCTTCTCCCATTCAAATTTTAATATGAGGGTGGTTCTAGAGGGTGTAACCTTTACCTCTTTTTGGAAGTAATTTAACTTAGTTTAATTAAGCCCCAAAAAATCTTTCTGAAGCCTCTAATCGTTTTCAATTAAGTTTTACTTAGACCTACAAAACCTAATGAACTACTTAGCTGTGTGGGTCTATGAGTAAAGTTTAGTTGACTATCACCCTATTTCTCATCATCACGTTTGTGATATCGTATTTCAACAAGTGCTGATAAAGTGGGATGCTTTCATTGGCTTCAGCAGAATTTGAATTAGCTCATCTTCTATTGGAAATTAGAAAAGACAGATACATTTATCGCTAGACCCAGTTCATTGTCAGATAAGTGAACTACTATCAATGGCTTCAATAGGTTTCGAAAGACTATCCATTTCTTTCTCACTAACATGTACTTTTCTTACATTTCAGTAAGGGCTACACAGATATTGTGAAAATACCAGAGGGAGCAACACACATCAAAATCCGACAGTTCAAAGCAAAAGACCAGAGTAGATTCACAGCTTACTTGGCCCTGAAAAAGAAAAATGGTGAGTACCTTGTCAATGGGAAGTACATGATCTCAACCTCAGAAACCATCATTGACCTCAACGGAACTGTCATGAACTATAGCGGCTGGAGTCACAAGGACGATTTCTTGCATGCAATGGGACATACAGGCACGAAGGAGATCCTCATTGTACAGATTCTTGCAACTGACCCAACTAAACCATTGGACGTCCGTTACAGTTTTTATGTGCCAAAGAAGCCAACCCAAATGACAAACTCCGTCACCAGCAACAGCAGCAGTAACAAACTGGCAACGCCGCTCACCCAGCCCCAGTGGGTGACTGGACCGTGGCTTTCTTGCTCTCGAACATGTGACACAGGCTGGCACACAAGAACTGTCCAGTGCAAAGACAGAAATGAAAAATTAGCTAAAGGGTGTCTTCTGTCTCAAAGACCTTCAGCATTCAAACAGTGCTTGCTCAAAAAATGTTAACCTGTGGTTCCGTCGGCTTCTTAAAAAGGAGCCTCATTAAGTCGTAGTTGACATGTTGACATAAGGTCTACCCCGGCACAGAGAAAAGCCAACACTTCAATATGCTTTCATGTTGTCTCAAATTATGGGCAGAATCTGCCTATTTGGACCAAATGAAGATATGCACTGCTCTGAGTCACAGTGAGGTGATCTTGATATGTCAAAGGCACTAAACATTAGTCGCTACAAGCCCTTTGTATCTGCAAATAAGAAGAGGATAAACCAGTGAATCATCTCCCTTATCTCACCTACCTCTAACACAGTATGTCCTTAGACAACTTGTCATACTTACCCACGATACCACAATAGCTTTTTTATACTATTTGTAAATATCTCTGCTTTGGTATGTCACTTTATAATCACTTGATCATCTTGTGGAAGAACAAAGGCCTTTCTATACAACACAAGTGATTGACCAAAGTATGTCTGCAGCCATTGAGGACTCCACAATTTCAAAAATGGCTGTGGATATTTTACTGGAAAGTTAAAGAGCTTGCTGCTTTATTTTTAAAAAAAAAAAGATTTAATTTTTGACAAAAGGAAATGCATTTCCATCCTAGGAATTTCCTCACAAGACTTTAGTTCTGTATTAATGCCTTTCTAACCAGATATTCTCATACAAGTGGACCTCTGCAGCAAAAAGAGAGAGCTGCTAGTATGTATCTTGAAAATGTAAAAGGGGGGCATACTTAATTCTGTTTTAGCAAATGAGAGGGTCATGATCCAGTCCCATATGTGCATCCTTCCACGTGCAGGGAGACAGTGTGAAGGAATTCTACATGTGGGAGCAGCACATATAAGAGAGTTTGGTGAGGCACTGGATCATACCTTCAGTGTCTTCTATCTCAAATATTCTGATACCTGTTCACATCTTTCTTTTATTAGTTTCACAGTGGCTTCTACTGGAAATCTAGCAATGTAGTGAATTTCTTATCTACTGAAGAAGCTATGAAGAAATCAAAATACATAGCATAGGTTTCTTGCATGTAGCAATGTATTGTCTAATACTTCTAATGTTGGGATGCATTTTTACCACTCGGACAACCCCAATCCCAATGCACAGGCTCAGTTATGAACAAAGATATATTGTGCACAAACTGTCCCATTGTTGCAATGGAGCATGTGCAATCTTCTGCACATATGGCTTGGGCCACTCCATTGAATTCTTTCAGGTGCACCTCAAAACTCCCATACAATTGGGGGTGCCCATGCACAATTTGTTTTAATTAGTTAATTTTAAAACAAAAAACAAAACTATAAAATATATTTATTTTTTGTGACATTGCATATTTTTGTAGATTAAGGCTGCAATCCTATACCCACTTACTTGGGAGTAAGTCCCATTGAGTATAACGGGACTAGCTTCTGAGAAAATATGTACAGTATAGCTCAGCAAGGGCCACAATAAGTGATAGCTATAGTCAGTGCTTTTGGGGGGGATGCAGGGGTACACATACCCCTAAACATTTTGTGAATATAAGTTTAGCCTCATTGAGGGGCAGTATTTCAATATGGGGAGGAAAATGAGAGTAACCCTAAACATTTTTTTTAGGAAAAAAAAAAGCACTGGCTATAGTCAATATTCTGAAGAGTATTTCCACCAATAAAAGGGTGCAATTTTTTCCAGGGCATAGGCAAATAAATTTTCCATTTTAGAAAGGTAACATAAATACCTCGATCTGAAATGTGATGAAATTAATTGAATTTTGGATGATGTTTATATAATACGGAAAATATATATATATGGGTATAAAATCTCAGTAAAAGAAGATTGCCCCTCTCCTCCTAGTGCCTTCCACAAATATTGCAAGTATGGACAATTCTTGACTTTCCATTGCAATTTAGTTTTAGATTTCAGGGGAGTCAGGACTATATCTGAAAGTACCCAAGTTTAATTTTGATCTAAAGTATTTGCACTCCAGCACTAGTTCTGATGTTGTTCTGGAACAGTGGTTAGAATGCACCATTCTAAGCATTTATTTTCTAATGCAGGATGTTTTAGGGTGAATAGATTGTTAAACCACTCCCATTTATATAGGCCAGGAGTAGGAAACCCTGTGGCCCTCTAGAAAACTATGTGTTTGCATTCCTGTTGGCACTCCAGAACCTGTGGCATTTCAGACATCTCTCACCATCCCTGATCATTGGACATATGAACTAGGGCTGATCAGGTTTGGAGTTGAACAACATCAGGAGAGCTATAGGTTGCCAACAAGTCCTGTTTACAGCTATTTCATTGCAGTACAGTAGTACTCCCATTTATAAGTAATAGCCTGACTTGATAAGACATTATCATCAATGATGATTGACAACTGCACTTTCACATCCAGGTCAGACTGATGCCCATTAGGACTGGTAGCGCAGAAGGCAGGGAGACCAACAGTAGACAGAGACAGAGCCAATGACTGGTGGAGCCAATGAATTATCGGTATGTCTCTAGTCTCTTCTCTGTTGCATTATAAAATGGCAACACCAAGACTAACAAGGAGGAAGCTGACAGCAGCAGCACCCGCTGGACTGATTGTAAGAAGGCAGGCATTGTCCTAATTGCCCTAAAAGACCAGCCGAACAGATATGGGTTTGAAGAATGTAGGTGCATTTACTAGGTACATAATATGTTGATCCAAACAAACAGGCGTTTCCAGAAAACACACTGATTGATTAAAACAGCTGTTCTCCAGCACTGTTCTAGCATATGTAATTATGCATAGCTAGTTGTGGCAGGATATGGATAGGGTTGTGCATCCAGATGTGGATCAAAAAGTGCATCCCATCTATAGCATTGCAAGGTGAATTAGCAATATCCACATTCAAATGCATGCCTCCTTTTTATACCTGTAATTCCTGTCCAGAGAAAGAGTGCCACATATGAAATACACCTCTGCAGAATGCTTCCACCTGTGACTATAGGACTGGGAGAGATATCAGTTTAGTACATTCTTTCACCCACTTTCTGTTCCAAATTATAGAGGTCCCCTGACTTTAAACAGTTCTCATGCCATTAAACAAATTCTGATCTTATGTGCATAATCAAGGAGATTGAGCTTTCTATCTATAAAAGATTTGGCACCATGTCCAGGATCACCTTTCAGTACTTGCCTAAATTCTTTATGAGAAGAGGCCTGAGGTGCTTGAACATTATGGGTTATATCCAGGGTTTTTTCCAGCTGGAACTTGCTGGAACTCAGTTCCAGCACCTTTCAGGTGGGTGCCATTGCCATTATAAGGCAACAAGGGAGGGGTTCATGGTGAGTTCCAGCACCTCTTTTTCTAGAAAAAAAGAACTGGTTAGATCCGTGAATCAATGCTCCTATATTCTAGGGTTGATGAACCTGTAGCCATCCAGACGTTGTTGGACTTCAGATCCTATCAGCCCCAACTAGCATGGCCGATGGTCAGGGATGAAGGAAGTGATAGCCCAACAACATGTGTAGGGCCACAGGTTCCCCATCCCTGCCTTACACTCTAGTTTTCCCAAGCAATAGTATAGGAAACTTTTAACTGAAAGTAGTCCCTTCAAGAACAGGAAAGGGAAAACTCAAAAGAAGCAACTGAACCCAGTAAGCTAAATGCAGAGATGGTGTACATACATGTAGAAGTATGTGCGATTGAGTTCCATGAAGCCAACTTCCTAGTAAGCGTGTTTAGGATCACTGTCATCATGGTCTAAGTTACATGGGCACATGTAAATTACTCAAACTCAGGTAAAGCATGGAAATAAACTGAATTTTAGTTTCCTTATTATAGCATGATCCTAGGACATGTGTGACATATGGTAAGCACATTACACTTTGGCAAGAAATAAAAAAGGCAAAATTAAGGAGAACTGTGTGTTTGCCCTTTTCCTGCACCCTCCCTACCTCTCTTGCTCTCTTCCGCATTGCTTTCTGCACTCATTAATGTGAAACTGGTGCCAATTGTCACTTTACAGTTTCTGACTATGTTTGAAGCAGGTCAGTGCCAGAGACTCAAATCTAGTCACCACCTGATGTACTGTTTGGTTATTCAGATTTTCTCTGAGAATTCTACTAGCTTGAATGGGAGCGTATCCACTGCTAAAATCACAACTGGTGCCATGATTCAGTGCATCTCTGTACAGTGAAGGCTAACTTTCCAAATAATCCTCTACACTAGAAAGCTGTAATCCTCAAACCACATGCTGTCACTGTATGAAACCTATTGGGTGGTTTAAAGATTGAATAAGGCTGAATGGAGTAACTTTTCCATGGAAATAGTTTATCCTATGGGGAGGGAGTGGGGAATGATGTTGGTAACTGATCACAGATGTAAAAAGAAAAAAAGAAAATTTAAAATTTAAAAAACAAAAAAGTAAAAAAGCAACATAGCACTGAAAATAAATAATTTATTGTTTTTACAAATTGGTATGTGAATGGATGTAATGAATTTATTTATTCTTATTTAACATGAAATGCCAATTGTGAAAATTCTTCTATATTTAAATTGTTTTGCTATCACTTCTTTGTCTGTCTTTTCCTCTTGTTTTCCTTTAATTTATGCCTTATATTTGAATGGAAAGTACTATGTGAATTTATCAGCACGCAGCACTGGTTGCTTTTATATTGTTTTTCTTTGATTTATCTGGAACGCGTGTGTATGTGAATGTGGTGCATGCATGGGAGAGTATGGTTAATAGTACAAATAAATATACTTGGGTGAATGGCTGTGCGAGTGTTATCACATATATAAACATACAGAATGCACATGCATCCATACAGATATGTGTTTGTATATGTATACTGATATATTTTGTAACCATGGCTTTTCTTTTCCTTGCAACTACCTTGCATTGCATTATTTTCAAAGCTTGTAGTTACAGGGTGCAGTCACAGGTTTAAGTATTGTATAAGAACCTTCTCCCATCACCTTATTCTTGTACCTCCATCTACCCAAGGCCTGATTTCAAACAATATTTCTGTAGCTTCCTTTGGGATGTCATGGGGAAGCTGTTTGTGCGAAGTAACTCTCTTTTGGTTCCCCTTTAACCATACCTGCAGCTTCTTTGAAAATGATGGGTTTTGGTGTTTTGACATTAGTGGGCCCCTTACCATAAACGGCTTCCCATGTAGGTAGTATCTAGGCAGTTCCCCATTTAATTTGTAGTTGTGCTGCAAAAATAATGTCTGGGTTTGTCTTGCAAGCTCACTTTGATCTGTTTGCACTCGTGGTATGACAAACTAATCACGCAAACCATTTTCCATGGGTAGAAGGCTGCCAGAGAAAAAGCATAGTTAGCACAGAGATGGCAATCAGTCTCATTCATTTGATATCTCATGTTACGGACAGCCAAGAGCCTCAAAATCAATAGGGCCTAAGCATATATCCATCATTGTAATACATGTTTATTTCAGTGGGACTTGAATAAGGCTGTAGTAAATAGCTGCTGGTTCTAAAATGCACTTCATGTGCACAGCCAGGCATCTGATTCAATGTTCTTTGCATTTTGAGCTGAACACGCATATATCCTAAAATACATGGTTCATAATCTAGTGTGCAAAGGTATGATGGGGCACCTGAGGTTTTCTGGAGACTCCACAGTACCAAAACCCAGAACCAAATGGGTTTCTCTCATCCATCCACTTTCCCACTGCTTCTAGTGAAGCAGTATATACAAGAGCTGTTTCTCTTTCTTCCTGCAAAGAGCTTCAGGTAACCTGAAGATTGGGGGAAACATCATTAGCTCAGCCCCAGAGAAGCAAGTACTAGCTTTGGCATGTCCTCAGTGGAAGCAGAAGCCTGAGGATGAAGAAAACATACTGGGTCATATTTCTGGATGTGAAAGTACCAATGCATTGAGAATGCAAAAGCAACTAAATAAATCAATATTACCGCGGCAACTGGCTTGTGAAACCAACTTTTCATAAACCATACTGTAAATCCTGCAATCCTAAGCCTATTTACCTGGGAGTAAATCCTATTTAACTCAATGGGACTTCCAAGTAGGAATGTATAAATTACACTGTCAGTCTGGATTAATCTTACAACCACCTTACTTGTTTAAAGGCCCTTCAGTGGTGCATATCAGAAACACAAAACAAAAATTACACCAACCATATTAGTGATTCTGAAATGTATTTAATCTCTTCAGGTTGGAAGCCATTGTCTTTTGCCAACTAGTAACAGATGGTTGTTCCATCCAAACGGTTACAACATATTACTGGTGCATCCAGCTACAACATCTGAAACATTTTTAATAGCCAAAAGTCCTAGGAGCTACCACTATTGCACATATATAACAACAGGTGCATTTTGTGAAGTAGCTGAAGAAACCAGATGGCTTCACTAGACGCACAACAGAAAAGTTCAGACACTTATTTAATACTATGAATAATTCCACGCTGATCATTTTGCTGACAATTCTTCCAAAACCAGTTTTTCAATTTCCCTCTTAACAATAGCACGGTAGAAATATGTAATGCCATCTATTTATGAGAACTTTTTTCCAGTAGTTCAGGAATTCTAGCAACCACCCTGCACAGCTATATAGAGAGAGAAAGAGCACAATACCAAAATTTCAATCTAGTTACAAAGCATTTTTCAGTATGTAGCCTACAAGTTAAGAAAGTGTGTGTCTTTTATTAGCTTTCCCTTCTATGTACCATTTTATGTTGTTTTCCAACTGCTACTCAGTCAGTTTCACAATTCAGTTGTTTTAGCCCTAGCAAATGACTTCTGATGTTCAGGTTTCGCCGCAGTACTGGCCTATTGATTACTTTTATCCTTGAATGTGTAAACTCAGTTGCTTTAGAATGTGAAAAACATTCAGGGGCAGGCACTCTCAATTCTCAATACTTTTAACTCAATAACAAATTGGGAAATAAATGTTCATGTCTGTTACACTGGATTCAGTGAAGCAATCTAAGTAGGTGTGTTGTCTATTGTAACAGGTGACTGCTACAGATTAACACCCCAAAAATACCAGATATTTTGCTAGTAACTTGTAGTCAGAAATCACTTAGCCTAATGCTCCTGCTCCCTGAACTCTTAATTCAAAGCTGAGATGTAACAAAGGAATGCCGGAAAATGTGTTTTCATGCCAGCTAAAGACATTTATGTACAACTAAATAATTAGATGTGTGTGTGTGTGTGTGTGTGTGCGCGCGCGCGCGCAGATTCATGTATCTGTATAAAATACGTGCTGTATATGGATAATCAAGGAGATCAACATCAGCCTTCACCAGCTTGGAACCCTCTACCTGTTTTCAACTACAGCTCCCATCAGTCCTAGTCATCCCAGCCAATGGGATGGGAGTTGTAGTTCAAAATATCTGAAAGGCACCAAGTTGCCAAAGGCTGGCCTATTTAATTATTGGGTACATAGTGTGCATTTATTACTTCCACTACATCAGTCTATAGCCAGAATAACTTCACCGGAGTTAACAATTTACATAATTATATATGTGAATTTAATGCAAAATACACCAAATTTGATATATTATACTATAAAACATGATGGCACTTCACAGCAAAACCCATTCAAAACACATGGTAAACTGCCCCATCGAATGCTATACTAAACATCCGTGCACCAGAGAAATGTTGGTTAAATCAATTTTAACCTTGCTACAGATAAATAAACTTTGGGGTGGGGGAGTGAACAAACATGTAAGAGAGAAAAGGCTGGGCTACACTAGGACTCCATAGAATAATAATAATAATAAAAAACTAGCAGAGATCTTGCTGTTGGAAGATGACTTAAAAGCCAGTAGGTTCGGTCTGGCTGTACCAACAGGACACATTGCACTAAAATACAGGCAGCCAGTCTATGGCCTGGGTGCTCCATGGCCCTGCTTGACACAATTTCTGGCACACATACCAAGAAAGTTGGCCATCATGGCACTAAACCACCACAGCTTTTGTTTTTCCTTTAAAGGATGAAGGAAAACTCCACAACTGCTCTGAGCAATGAATTCCACAGGCCAACTGTCCTTTACTTATAAAACCTTGTTGCATACTGATTTCTCTTTACCCTTGCCTCCCTGCAGTGTTTTCTGTATACTAAACATGTCTTTTGACAGTGCAGTGACCAAAGCTGGACAGTAACTCCAGCTGAGAACCAATACTGCTAACTATAATGGTGCTATAAACTCCTGGGTCTTTCATATGAATCTGCTGTTAATGCCAACCAAAATGATTTTTATTTTTTTGCATTTCCTGGCCTTATAGTAAACACCTCATTATTGAATGTTAGTGTGGCCGTTGTGTTCTGTAATACCTTGCACTAGATGTTTTAGACATTTATTGGTAATGTAAGTACACCTTAGGAAACTGATGTGTGTGTTGCCAGCTTTTTGTCTTTTGTTGGAAAAATGCCTTACCATAGTGAATTAACACTGGAGAACACTACAGTGTCAGCCATTGTACAAGATTTGTACTGTATTATGAAACATTAAAGGCCAGCGCCTTGAAGCTATACAACTATGATGACCAATGTATAAGAGACCAGTTGTGATCTTAACTGATTTTGTGGCTTCAGTTGAAGTAATAAACTGTGTCATGGGCTTAACTAGTTCCTGTAGATTTTGTCTTTCCATTCCTCCAACCAGCAGCCTTAACCAGAGACTGGGTTGTTTCTTTTCTGCAAGGTTCAGTGAGGTGGCTGTTCATGTACATAAATAGATGTGCATTAAAAAACAGCTGCTTTTTACTTATCGAAGGAGTGGAGGGAGGTGCACCTAAGTTCCACCCAGTGCAAATGGTTTATCAGTATAACTTTCCTTAGGTCTTGTGTGAGTGCCTGGAGGCGGTTGGAGGTTGGATGGCGGCTAACAGATTGAGGTTGAATCCTGACAAGACAGAAGTACTGTTTTTGGGGGACAGGAGGCGGGCAGGTGTGGAGGATTCCCTGGTCCTGAATGGGGTAACTGTGCCCCTGAAGGACCAGGTGCGCAGCCTGGGAGTCATTTTGGACTCACAGCTGTCCATGGAGGTGTTGGGATACTGCCAGGGAGACAAAGTCCATCATGACTCCACGTCGTCTCCGGACGTCCATCGATCTCCCGTAGACACGCAGTATCGGCAATTAGCGACACGAGCTCCAGAAATAGCTTGCCACATTCCAGAGCTGATGCACGCTCTATCAGCAGATAATGCACAGCGAAAGATGCACTCAGGGGGGCATTATTTACAAGTTTATTCAGCGTTGATCAGAACAAAGACAACATGACTGCCTGCTTCAGTGTCTCAGACACAGAGAGAGAAACGAAAGCATAGACACAACAGAAACATCCTGTGAACAGGAAATACACAGGCTGTGACACAAACATCCTGCTCCCTTTTAAGGTGGAACGGAAATATCCTAACATCAGGCACAGGTCAAATCTGTGTCCAGGGCAGCTGTTTACCAGCTCCATCTGGT